GTTAAGATCTCTGTAGTCTATGCATAGATATAGTCTATTATTCTTCTTAAGCATAAAGAGTATAGATGTCTCTGCTGAACTCTTTGATAAATATATTCAGTTCTTTGATTGTACTTCTTTAAGATATTTATACAGAATATTCAATTTCTTTACAGATAAGTTATAAAGAGACTTATACAGTGCTGTTACACTGTCTTTAAGATAAATCTTATATTATATCTTGATATCAGGAAACTTCACTGCTTCTCTTTCTGAAAAGACATTCTTAAAATCTGTAAAGAGACATTGTGTACATTCATCTTCAATAATGAATACTGCTACTAATCTTGCAGTGAGAGTGATAGCTTCTTCATCTATTCTCAAGTCTCAATCATCTGCTATGCAGTATATTAACTCAATCTTTTTCACAAGATTCTTCTGATAAAACTCTTCAGATTTCTCTATCACTGTCTTCTTATTAATGAGACAGTATTATCACATCTGAGTGACTCAGTCAATGAGAGAATTATTTTCTCTCAATTATAGAAGATCTAGAATAACATTCTTATCTATAATATTGACTATGTGAAGAAACAGACTGCTCTTCTTGAAGATTTCTTCTAAGTCTGTAGTCACACACTTCACTTGAATTATGTTAAAATAGTGATATTTTATTTCATCAGTAAATTTTATATAATCTGATAGATCTATCTTCTTTCAATTCTTCATCAAAGAAAAGAAATAGAATATGAAGTTAGTATTCACTCTGAAGTTAAGTAGGTATCTCACTGATATCTCTTCATTCAGAGTATGTATTGTGATTATAATATAAACTCAGAGATATAAGAATTATTAATTCTTTATTTCTTTCTCTTTATTATCTTTCATGAATATGTTTGTCAGAAGAGAAGTTAACTTTAAGAAGATATCTTCTCAGTTTCTTCTCTTCTTCAGCTTCTTATAATCACTGATATAGTATTTATCAGCTCTGCAGTTGAAACAGAGATCTTTATCAAATCTTTTTTAGTATTTCTTCACAGTGAGTGAAGAATCAGAATACTTGAAATTCTTCTTTACTTTCTTCATACTGAAGCTGTCACAGCACTGTTTAGATCTCATTATTAATTACTTAGAAGAGATCTTATTAACCTTTTTCTCAGAGAATTGACTATTCAAATAGATTCAGAAAGCCAGGTTGACAAGCTCAGTGTAATTGATTAATGAACTCTGATATTATAATATTATTATCTGCATCTTATAAGTCAGCTTTATAAGATAAAGCTATATTTTTAATTGATTCAAATCATTAGTTAATTTCTCTCAATATTCTTCAAATCTTGCATTGAAATTGAAAGAATTCTTATTATCTTATTGATATAATGAGTTGAATCACTATACTATTATAAAGCTGCAGTTACAGTGATCTTTAATTTAGTTCAGTAGAAAGTTCTTGAATTCTTCTTAAGTCATGATAGTATTGATATACTCAAGCTTTCTCTTCTTGATAACTCAAGTAGTTGCAGAGATATCTTTAAGAAGGTTAGCAGTGTATATTACTCATATCTCATGAGTATTATACTGGCTTGAATTAAGGCAGAATTTCTGTTCAAGAGTACAGATAAAGCTGTGAAATTCAGATAAGATATTTCTCTTATATCTCAGTGAATCTTCAACCTTAATCTCTCTATCTTCATAATAGATGTAGGTGTGTAGAGGCTGTGATGATGACAGAGTAGTTGAAGAGCTCATATTAAAATATACAGTGAGTTCAGAAATCTCAGATTTCTGTCAGAGTAGAGATGTACATACTCTAGAAAATAATGTAGTGTTTTCTTCAGAGAGTGAGATCAGATCAGTCTCAGTATGAGTATATGAGATTATATCAGTCTGTTAGAGCTTAACTGATTCAAACATATAATCAGATTAAGTGATTTAAATTGTAATATAATAGAACTGAAGCAGTGACTAGTCAGCAGTATTATGTAAAAATAGTTGTTTAAGAAGCTGTATAAGTGAGCTTAACTATCTTGCTTGAATAGCAAGCTTATAGACTACAGAGTTATTATAAGAATATTACAGATATGATACTTAGTATACTAAGAAGATTGTATGAGATACACAGTAACTCTTATATATATTTCAGTAGAAGAAAAACAAATCACTGACTTCTTTGATAAGAAGTCAGCATCTAGCTATTCTATATAGATAATGAGTGAATACTCTTCTCTCATTTCATAAGTAAGAATAATCAGAGTGATATCTCAGTAGTGTCTCATTGTTAAGAAAGAGTAATCTGCTGATCTCATATAGAAGCAGAGTTCTTATATTTATTAATCAGATCTTTCTATGATATATCTGAATGATGTTATAGAGTAGTTGAAAACTGGTTCAGACAGAATGAAATCATTCACATGAAAGTGATGAGCCGTGTGGAACCGCAACAGGGCCTTAGCGCGGCTGAAAGCGTGACAATATATCAGATCTTAAAATGAAATCATGACTTGAAAAAAATAAGAAAGTGATCTCATTTGATTTCATTTAGTCTCATTCTTAACATAAAGTTACTATTTTTAGACATTTTAAGGTTTTTTTTAGACTATTTTTAATTTTTTAAAAAGTAACACTTTTTAATAATACTTAAATAAGATTTAAAGTCATTTAAAGTAATAAAAATAATTTAAATTGAGAAGTGAAAATCATGGTCTCATTTGAAAAATGTGATAAGAGTAGACAGTAAGTTTCACTGAAACAGTATAAGACTACTATCTAATGTTAAAACTGTGTAATAAGATCAGTTGAATTGATAATGAGACTATTAAAAAATCTGATTCTGATCTCAGACACAGTTACATAGTCAGTCTACTGATAAGCAAGCTTCTATCTGAGAACTTAATGTTCACTTAACTGTTTAACTGTTTCTCTATTTCTTATGTGTTATTACATGTTTGAATATCTCTCAATAAATAATTGTTTCTAATGAGAAGATGATGTGTGAATAATTATTTTCTAATAAGAAGATAATGAACATTTTTATAGTGTAAGAGGTCTACACTGAATAGATCAGTATAATATTGATAGGTCTTATATAACAAAGATAAAAATGTTAGAGAAGAAAAGAAAGAGAAAGTGTAGAAATCAGTGATTGAGATGGATATTTATACACATATGTGATGGTGTATGCAGTGGAGCTTCGGGGCGGAAGAATCTATACGCGTTCGTGGCGGCCGAGGATCGGCAATCGAGAATGGAGCGGAAGAATCTATGGAGTGTAACGGAATAGTCTATATGATTGATCGGGCGCAGCCCGCCACAGTAAATAATTAAGAAAGAAAGAGTGGTTTCAAATTACAAGAAAAGATGTATTGAGTGAGGTCAGGTAGTGGCACGGGCCACATTTGCGAGGTCAGCTTACATAACGAGGTCAAGTGGCGCACTTAGCGAGGTCAAGTTTTCTGCTTCCTGTGGAGGTCCCAGGCTCTATCCGCTCAGTTCTGATTATATAAATTCCACCGATAACGGCGCCGCCAGGCTCTATTCAAAGGCTTGTCTTGGCTTGTTTGCTCTTGTCGTATTCCTATCCATCTAAATGACTTGTTCACAGAAAGCGAGGTTCGGATATCACGACTGATCATGTTTTTATTGGAGGATCTATCGCTTATGAGCGGTCCGTTGTTATGTCTTCAGTACTATGTAGTAGTTACTCTGTAATGACACAGTCCAATGATACGATAAGGAAAGTCTTTGTTAGGCGGCCCGCGGTTGTATGTAATAGTCTCCCCGCCATGCGCTGGATATCTCCTTTGCTAGAAGAATTTGATCCGTCTTGAGTTTGGTTCTTGCTGTATATCACGTCCGTGCCGGTGTTTCTACTAACGCCCAAGACGCACTTTGTAGTTCCCAGTGCCTTGGAAGGTATTTAGGTCTAGAGCCCGACGGGAAGGCTACCAAATCCTAGAACCAGAGAATCGCCAGCAAATTTGACGAGACATCCCATCCCGTCAAAGAGCACGGATTCCTGGGCGGATTGTTGTTGTATGGCAGTTATAAAGATTGATTTCAGGGGGGTGTGGATTTTACCCCCGACCGCTACGTAAATAACCCAAGCCTTGCCCAGGTAAATAACCTTATATTTAACCAGCCACCAGGTTCCAATGGAAACTTTATTATTATTTAGTTCTATTCGTTTGTCCAGCAAGGCATCAAAAATCTACTACTACTGCTATTTCTAATTACCAACTGCAACAAAAAATAACTTCAGGGGATCGAATCATGGAATTGACGGGGTCACATAATAAATTAGACAACATATTGTCATTGCTTTGACTGGTTCCGCTTTCTTCGTCCAGCCACATAACTAGTTAGTTACATATTTACAGAGTACTTGCTGATGTTGAAACCAAGGAGGATCTCTGTCCACTTGCGAATGCACCACCTGCAGTTCGAGTAATAATGGACAACTGATAGGGTTAGCCGGAGGAGGCAGAAGTACGGATTGGAAATTCTGCAGCAAACCTGAGATTTGGGTTTTCCATCCTTTGCAAAAAACGATTTGCAACACCAATCAGATCCAGGGGGGGGGGTTGGGTTGAGGTGATGGAATGGATAATGGGACGCGGTGTGATAGAGCAAAGCGAGCGAGTCGGAAACCAGCCATTTAACTTAAGTTACCTAAATATTCGCAGTTCAACAGGGAAAAAAAAAAAAAAGACCAGTAACTAGTTAACTAGTCGAGGTGCCAGCTGCATGTCGGATGAAAGCTTTGAATCCGAATAATGAATATCAGCCTTTTCCACTTCTTGATATTTATGCGTGATATAGTTATCGCCCTAGAATTGGGTTTAAGCACCGTACGCAGTACGCAGTACATACAACATAAACCTACTACCAAGATACATTCTCTCTTTCAGCTTTCCCCCCCCCCCCCCCCGGGCGTGTGGCAATCCTAATTTCGCATTTAAATAGCAGCCGACGCCGGTTTAAAAAAAAAAAAAAGAAAAAAAAGGGAGGGGGAACCAGGAGAAAGAATAATAACTACAATAACTACATGATAACCCCTCAGCTCAACCAAACAAACTCTCTCTCTTCCAACCACACAAACCTGCCAATGCGGGGTTTGATATCGGCGAAAGGCCAAAGGGGAAGAAGAAATCATGCCAAACCAAACTCCCATCTCCCATCTCCCATCCCACATCCCACATCCCACATCCCATCAACCAAGCCGGCCAAATTTGGCACACATTGGTGGGTTTCTTCGCTTCTCCGCCCTAGTCGATAGCAGTAGAAGAAACCCGTTTTTTCTTTCTCGCTACTTGCCGACTTCTATCCGGCCCTTCCTGAGAGAATAATGCGGTGCGGGTGGAGAGCGACCATCCGGCTGCTTCGGCGTAGTAGAGTAGTTGGGTACTAGGAGGTTGGTGGAAGGGGAATGTAAGATATGTACTTATGTACTGATGAGATTGCCGACCGATATTGGTCCCTAGCCCCACGGTTAGGAATTGGTTTTTTTATTTTTATTTTTATTCTTTATTTTTTGCTCTCATTTCTTCTATATATTAGACTAGGATTTTGTTTACGTTATTATAGGGTTGCTTGCTCTCTGCCCTCGGCTTTTCCAATCTTATACAATAGTTAGTTACCTTGCCGCGCATAATATCATAGACAGTGAAAGGAAATAAAATAAATAACTCAAAAAAAAAAAAAGAAGCGGAAAAAAAAAAAGAAGAAATGCTCAGCGAACTGACCTGGGAAGCAGTTGGTGCTGCGAAGCGGGAAGAGCTTCTCTCCTCCATCCCGGCGGAATGGATCATCTCAGCAGATATCTTCCCGCCGGCCACGCAGACGGACGTGACCAGCTTCCCCAAAACATCGGGCTGGTTCACTGCCTCCGAGCTGGAGATCACAGGCTCGACGGCCGCTGAAATCCTAGCAAAGACCACAACGGGCGCCTGGAGCGCTGAAGCTGTCACCCGCGCATTCTGCAAACGGGCTGCTGCTGCCCATCAACTGGTATGAACGAATGGCATTGCGAATCAATCCAATACACTATCCCTCTCTTTATTATATATCATCACAAAAACAAAGAAAAGAACAGAAAAATACCAGCTAACACATCCAACTAGACAAACTGCCTCTCCGAAACCCTCTTCCCAGAGGCTTTAAAAGATGCAAAGGCGCTCGACGCCCACCTGGCCGCCACCGGCAAGCCAGTCGGGCCCCTCCACGGCCTCCCCGTCTCGCTCAAGGACAACTTCAACGTCATGGGCAAGGACTCGACGCTCGGTTTCACGGGCTGGGTCAACGACCCGGCTACCTACAACAGCATAATGACGGATCTCCTGCGCGAGCAGGGCGCGGTGCTGTACGTCAAGACGAACGTGCCGACGGCAATGATGATTGCCGAGACGGTGAACAACGTGTTTGGGCGCACGTTGAATCCTCGCAATCGCCTGCTGACGCCCGGCGGGTCGTCGGGCGGCGAGTCTGCCTTGATTGCGTTCGGAGGTAGCCCCCTAGGTGTTGGGACGGATATTGGTACGTAGCTGTCCTTCGTCTATCCATCCATCCATCCATCCATCCAATCCTCCCCAAAAACTATAGGAACGGACAAGAAAAATAAAATAAAATAAATCAAAAGGCGCAATGCTAAAACCTCAAATAACGAACAGGCGGCTCCCTCCGCATCCCAGCCGCCTGCACCGGAATCTTCACCCTGCGACCCTCCTTCGGCCGATTCCCCAACTTCCTGACCAAATCCGGCCTGGCGGGACAGGAGTCCGTCCTCAGCGTCAACGGACCCATGGCCGCAACGCTAGACTCCATCAAGCTCTTTTCCTCCGTGGTGACCAACAGTGAGCCCTGGCTCCGCGATCCCAAGTGCATACCGATCCCCTGGCGGGCCATGGAGCGCAAGCAGCGCCTGAAGCTGGCCGTGTTATGGGATGATGGCATAGTCCGGCCGACCCCGCCGGTTCGCCGCGCGATGAGAGAGACGGTGGACAAGTTGCGGAAGGCTGGGCATGAGGTTGTCGATTGGGACGCGACGGGGCATAAAGAGGGGAATGATATTTTGGTATGCAAAACCACACTTTTTTTCAATCCTTTATTTTATTTCCCGGGCACGATTGGGGATGCAATGATGAAAGGTATTGAAGCCGGGGGGATGTTCTTTTTTAGGATCGCTTCTTCCTTTCCGACGGCGGCAGGACCGTGCAAGATATCCTCGCCGCGACCAAAGAACCCATCCGCCCCGAGATGGACCGGTACGGCCACGCCAAGGACGGCGGCGTACAGGCGCTGTGGAAACTGCACGTTGAACGCAATAGGTTCCAGCAGAGCTACATGGAGCGGTGGAATGCGTGTGAAGGACTCGATGGGCTGTTGAGTGAGTTAATGATAATACCAAGCCATTTCCAATTTGGCAAACAAAGTGGAAGAATCTCGTGTCTTTTTTTTCTTTTTAACATCAACGACTGACTATTTATTGCGCCAGCCCCCACAACCCCCTTCGCGACAGTTGAGCACGGCCTCTTCAAGCACGTCGGTTACACAGGCGTGTACAACATCCTCGATTACTCATGTCTGTCGTTCCCGTGCGGCGTACAGGCTGATGCGGCCGTAGACGGCCCCGACGTAAACGAGACTGAACTGAGTAAAGTTGACGGCATTGTGCAGAGGGAATGTACGTCCTATTCCTCCCCCCTCCTTTCTTCTCTCTTTTTCTCTCTCTTGCTCTGCTGTTTGTTCTTCGTTTGTCTTTGTTGCGACTTGTCATCTGAAAGTTGCGCTTTTTCCCCCTGTTCCTCCTCACCCGCAAACAAACACACACAAGCAAGCAAACACACACCAATGGCTAACGTGAAATGAAATTCAGACAACCCCTCCGCCGTCCACGGGCAGCCAGTCAGCTTGCAGCTAGTAGGCCGCAAGTTCGAGGAGGAGAAGGTGGTGATGATGGGCGAGGTTATCCTGGAGGCGCTGAAGGGGCCAGCTATGAACGGAAGAGCGTAAACTCAAACAGTGTCGTTCTATATCGAGTTGGATTTGATGGAGGATTTACTTATAAATAAATTTATATCATCTCATTTTTGGCTTTTCTTTCCTTTCTATATACCATCGTTATCTTATACTTTGGCCCCCAGGCCTATTTTTTTGGACATAAATAATTCTCTGGGAAAGCAATCGTCAGTGAAATTGTTTTTACCATCGTTCCAGATAAATTATAGATTGAAATGCCATACCTTCATAAGTATTAATGAACTGAAAAATAAAATTCATATCTGATACGTGAATACTCCAGGAAAGATGTTGCTAGGCAGACTTGAAGTCTTGTAGCAATGGCCCAGCCTAAATTCATCAGCTGAAGTTAACCTCCCCAAAAATGGATGATGATGTAAAAAGCTGGTTATTCACTCATTTAATCCGCCATTATACCTGATATAAACGCGAGAAATAATGAATAAATCGAAGTATTAAATAATAAAAAAAATTAACTTTTCTTCATTTATTTTGTATATTTGCTCCAAGCCGAATTGTAAAGGGGGGGGAGGTGGGGGGGGGGGGGGGACAAACAAATGAGATTTGAAAAATTATCCGCAACCCAAAACGTAAACATATCAAGGAAAAACATGAGTAAAGGAAAAAGAAACGGGGGGTAAAGATGAGACAGGGGAGGAACGGTGGGAGGAGGACAGGAGGGAAAATCGCACGACGCCCAAAACTTCTTTCAATGTTTTCATCGGGGCCAGCTCTAGTACGAAATTTAGGAGAGGGGGAGGGAGGAAAGTAGAAAGTCTTCAATCGGCGGCTGTATTTTCGGTGTGAGCCAATCAATCAGACATGTTTGTTCACCAGCTCCGCCCTTTTAAAATAGAATAGGCAAGCGGAGGAAAAGGAAAAAAAGTACAATAAATAGAGAGCCGTAAAGTAAATATTGGCGGGGAAATCTGATGGAAATACGCCGGTGTATTTAACATGCTGGGTTAAGGTAGGGTAGACCGTGGAAGAAAAGGAAAAGCGAGGAAAAGGGAGGAAAAGAGGAGTAAACTCGAAAACATGCAGGCGTCCGACGGAGGTCAAATCAGCTGGAAAAATATTGGGGGGTACATGACGGTGAATCTTGTATATCGTGGTGTAATTCGTCGCAGAAACTTTAACTGTGGGAGAGGGGGAAAGTGGAAGCTTGTGCTCGAGGGTGGAAGAAAATTAGATAAAGAGGCGTGGACCACAATTCATTGATGGGTGGGTGGGATTCTGCTTCGTTCTCAAACAGACCTTCTCATCCCAGCGTTGAAGGCGCTGGAAGGAAGTTGTCCAGAAAGACATAAGTCGTTTGGGGAACGGTTCCGAGCTTATCCTTCTTATTGAGAATAGCTGAAGAGGTGTTGATATTTAAGCAACAAATTTACATATCCATACTATCTCCACCGTTGGCGAAATTGAAGGATCCTGTTGGTTGCTGGCCGGTACCCAAGGTGAAACCTGCCTGTGTCTGTTGAGGTGCAAGCTCATCAATATCAGCGCCAGCCTCCTCCTCATCTGAGAAGTACCGCTCAATGATGTTGTAAGCCTTCATGTAGATCTCCTCGTTGGCATTGTTCTGGCAGTCGTGGATCTTTTCCATACCGCCAGCCTCTTCAATGAAGAGAGCGTAACGATTCACGCTAGGCTCTCCCATTTGGGCGGCCTCCTTGTCCATCTCTCCGACTTTCAAAATGTTCTCCAGGCCATCGAGAGCAACTTGAATGATCTTGTTATCTGGGCATGCAAGGAGGTCGCAGAGTGGCTTAATGCATCCTTGAGAGACTAGATAACGTATTTGCTCCGGCTTCTGAAGGCCCCCAGATGTAGCGTTTGAGATGGCCCAGCAGGCTTCTTTTCTAGTCTTGAAATCTCCGTTCGACAAAAGGTTGATCAGCGGAGGGATGATGTTGGCATCAATGACAGCCTGAATCTGGGTAGAGTTGCCAGCTGTAATGTTGGAGATGGTCCAGCAGGCCTCTTTTCGGATACCATCTTTAGTGGAGCTGAGCAGAGAAAGAAGGGCAGGAAGAGCGCCGCAGTTGATAATCACTTGGGTCTGCACATCGTCACCAGTAACTATGTTGCCAACAGATCTAAGCGCTGGGGTCTGGACAGATGTGGAAGCGTGCATAAGCAGTTCCACCAATCGACGAGGAATACCGGCTTCGATGACAGCCTGGATTTTGTCATTTGATCCATCCGACAAATAGGAAATAGCCCAGCAGGCGTCGATCAAGACCTCGTCATCAAGCATGTATACCAACTTAGCCAGAATGGGAAGAGCGGGAAGGATCTATAATGCCAGGGGTTAGCAATTACCAAAGAGAATTCATTGTGGCGTCGGACATAGAAAGGGAAAAACGAACAGTCGGCCAATCAGGCTGGGGAGTCTTCCCACGGCAGAAATTGCTCAGCGTCCATGTTGCATTTCGGAGCATGCTAAGTTTGCGCCCATCGCCAATCAATGCAAGGAGAGGACGAAGAGCTCCCGCACCAAGAACAAAGTCACGACATTGAGGACTATCACCAGCAATGTTACCAAGCGCCCAGACGGCTTGTTCCCGTACATCGGGCTCATGGCTACTCAAAAGTTCAACGAAAATAGGGACAGCGCCAGCTTCGATGACGACCTGGGTTTGCTGTGCTGATCCGGAAGCGATATTGGTCAACGCCCAAGCGGCCTCAAACTGGACCAAAGTATGGGGTGAACGCAAGAATTCGACGAACCGGCCGACAACGCCGGTTTCAATAACGCGCTCGATGGGGGGGTTCCGTTCTTTAGAAAGGAGTTTTCTGAACTTGGTGGTGGCTTGAATCTGCAAATCGATTTGATCGGAGAAAACACCCTTTACCATCTCTGGGAGCTCGACGTTAAGCTATAGAGGGCTAATTAGCAAACTCATTCTACTACAAAATTTACTACTATGGTTTCGCTTTAAAAATTCAATCTTGTGCCATCTCCTCACGCTCTTGGTTCGCATCCCGGATCTTATTATAGCTGCCTAAGCGCCAGAAGATCCTTGGCTGCGCGTCATAGCTAAATAGCTAGCCACGAAACGACATGGAAGGAACAAAACCACATTTGAAAACGAAAGACCCAACTATGTTCCAAGAGTAAGAGCAGGTAGAAGACATGCACATACCTCACTCTCAATGGTTCCACTCTCCTCATCGCTATCGTCAGGACCAAGCGCAGATTCTCCACCTACACCGATACCTCCATCGCGAGTCTGGATACCTCTCCGCTTTGCGAGGTTCTCTTCGCGCTTCTGCTTCCGAATCTCAACCTGCTGCTCCTCACGGCGGCGACGAAGTTCATCTGGCTTGAAGGAGCTCTTCGCCTTGAACTGGGTGCGACGGTGTTCTGGGATGTAGCGCTCCGCCATTGTGATGGTAGGAGGAGGGAGGGGAGAGCAGGGAAAAGAAAGACAGAGCTGGGCAGCGCAAAGAACAGGCCAGCAGCAGCGGATCTAGAAGCTGGAACAAGTGCACAAAAAGATATAAGAGAGAGAGGTATGGCTAACGCGAGCGGAGGAAAAGAGGAGATGTATGGTATTTGCAAACCTGATGTCCGGGATGGATTTGGGGGAGGGTTGTTTGGGTGGGAGAAGAGAAAATGGAAAGATTGTGATGGTAAAGAGGGGCTTTTCTGCTTTGGGTGGTTGCTGAACCAGCATGGATGACTAAGCAGGAACCCCACCACCTCTTGGACAACCTGGGGCAACTTCCGGCTTGTCGCAACGGGCTGCACACATCTATCGAGAACTGTTGCATATACATATCCTGGCGAGATAATAGGCGGGTGGGGAAAGGGATCCATTTGCTTGTATGGTCGATGTCTGGAACCATAGCCCTTCTAGCATTGTCTATACCCCCTTCCCTTGTTGACCCCCACGCGACTTGGACGCGTCCTAGCAAGGGAATTGATCCCCATATTTTGCGTGGCTCGTCAAGAGGAGAATTGAATTGACTGAGTACTAAGGCTGCTTCTGGAGACAACTCTTATATATCCCGTACCACAAGTACTTCGATTGTGGCATTGGTCTGCTCTGCAACACTCCGGCGTTGCTGATACTGGAACTTGAGCCTGTGTTTTGTACCTGTCCTGTACATGATAACAGCAGGTCTCCTGGCATTGGGACAGACGTATCAGCATCTCATATCTTACGTTTGCTTTGCTACTGTCCTAATGCCAGTCTTTGAGGCGCCTAACGCTTCTAACTCTCGCCACTGACATTTTCTTTCGCTTGTCTTTGTGGTGTGCCATACCACATAATGGCCCCATCAATCCCCCCAGGATTCGATGATATCCAAACGGCGGTATCCAGAATGGACAGGATGGTGAACGTTATCGCGGTGGTAGTGGACGCCCTCCCACCAAAATTATCCGGAGGATCTTCATATGTGTCCACCTTTACACTTAAAGATCATGATCTTGATAATGAGTCATGGAACGGTCTCAAAATCCGTTACTTCAACAATGACGAATCATATCTACCAGTCCCTCAGCATGGGGATGTGGTTCTTTTGCGGCAGATTAAGGTCCGTTTCCTTGTTTCGAAATCGAACTGTGGCTCTTTCGGTCGCTGATAGCCTAGACAGGTACGGTCGTATCAAGGGGCGGTGATTGGCCTCTGTAGCCAACGGGATAGCACTCCTTGGATCATTTTCAGTAAAGGGCCCAATCCCAAGGCAGTTCCACAAGTAACAATGCGACCCGGTACTCGAGACTTGACCGCTACTGAGAAATCATATGCTTTCTCCCTAATCGGTGCGGATTACACAGTGGCTACGAGCTGCCAACCTGTTCAAGTCAATCAAGTCGCAACTTCGGTCCCATTGCGCCCACTGGCCACTAAGCCATTCACCAAACCATTTACTCCACGCCGCAGGCCAAAATTTAGCTTAATAAAGGACGCATCCTGTGGTATATTTGTCGACCTTGTTGTTCAGGTAGTGAAAACTTACCCTGAAGATTATCAAAGATTTCTTCTCTATGTAACCGACTATACCCAAAACAAACAGCTTTTCAATTATTCTTCGGAGGAAAGTGGTCCCCGCGATGGCGACGAATACGGCTACACGTCACGCCCTAGGAGGGACTGGCCCGGACCTTACGGCCAAATGACATTACAAGTTACTCTCTGGGAACCACATTCATATTACGCAAGGCAAAACATCAAAGAAAATGATTTTGTTGTACTCCAAAATGTCAATATCAAAATAGGAAGAATGAGCGGCGTAATGGAGGGCAGCCTTCACACAGATCGCCATTTCCCCGAGAAAATCCAAGTGATACCCATCAATGATAATGATTCCGACGAGGATTTAAAGAAGCTCGTGAAGCGGAAACTAGAATACTGGAAGAGGATGAGAACAGAGAATCCGGGTCATCATGGCAATGATGTCAACAAGCGGAAATTGGCGGATGATGATGAGCAACCACGAAATCTATCTAAAAAGGCCAAGAAGCGGCTAGCGGAGCAAAGGAAGAAGCAAGAGGCGAAAAGAAAGCGGGAGGAAGATCAACTAGAAATAACAACTTCTTTCCAGGCGAAGCGGGATCAACTCAACGATTACAGTACGTGTTGACAACGCCACATTTTGCGATCTACACATCAATGGGGGGAAACAAATCAGTAACAATAAATGCTAACATTCAATCTACAGTCCGGGCAAACAACCCCTCAGTCCCCTGCCGCTCAATATCGGACATTCTCTTCAATGAATCCCACACCAACATCTCCCCTGACGGAATCAAATACCGCCTCCCCTTCCAAAATCTCCGTTACAAAGCTTCTGTCCGCATTGTCGATTTCTTCCCTCCCAAGTTAGAAGATTTTTCCGTACAGTATGATGTGGAGCGTGCCATGCTATCAGACACCGAAGGGAGCGTGTCGGGCACTGACGATGATAATAACGAAACCGGCAGCCGCAAGCGATGGGAATGGAGATTTTGTCTCCTGGTCGAAGACGCGGGACCAGGCACTCATTACAACCGTAGCGGGCCACGGGAGCGCATGAAACTCTATGTAGGAAATAACGATGCTGTGTTCTTACTTCGCCTCGATGCTGTGAAGTATGATTTTCCCTCCCCCTTTTCTTTCAACAAAAAACCTTGATTATGCGAAAAATATAAAGAAATACAAGCTATAAATACTCACTAAAATCACTATTATAAAACCAAATCAGCCTCCGCAAAAACCCCGCTGTGCTTTTCGACCTCCGTGAAAAACTGTTCATTCTTTGGGGCGACCTAGAAGAACGCAAGCGTGCGAGCATGGCAGCAGCGCAAAGCAGCAACAGCAGCAGCGACAACAACGCTGGAAGCAACGACGATCCCAACCCTGATCCCAACAACCAAATCATTACCGCGTCAACGAAGCCATTTGTCTGCTGTATTAAAGAGTTTGGCGTTAAGAGATCACGTGCGTCGGACGAGGGGACTTCAGATAACGACGATAGTGATGAATGCGGGCTTGGGTGGGAAAGGCGGTTTTGTATGTTCGGTACCACGATTGTGTAATGGGTATATACTATATCTACATGGGATCATGTTAGTTTTGTGCCCTCGTTTTCTCTCCCTTTTTTGCTTTCCTTCCTTGCATTTCTAGTATATACATATATATGGAAATTAGTAGCGATGGCGTTTCGGAGGTATATGTGTATCATCACGGGAAAAAGGCCTATATAAATTATTCAGGAAGGTTAAGTTTAGATACGTCTAATGGGAATGAGAAAAAGTCTTTAGATACGAATCTTTTTTCGCACGACAATTAGGGCAATGCTTTCTCCAATTCGTTTTTCCCGGAGCATATAATTCATTGCTCACTGTAACGAAAGTCCTCCTCTCAACCTACCCTCTATCCCGATCGTGGAATCATAGGCGTGTGTCAATATCATCATTATAAGATACGGGGATTATCAGAGAATGACTAGGGGAAATACTAAATTGAAATAAAAGTAAAATGGAAGAGGGTTGGGAAAAGAGTGAGACGATGTAAATAAAGTGAAACGATGTTTCCATCCATTTGATACATGACTTTAAATTAAAAATATCTTTAAAAAATTCAGAAGGGAACAAAGGTGAAAAGAGAGACTCCATAGATCCGTCCATCCACCCACTAAATTCCATTCCCATTCAACCCAGCTTATTTAAAAAAGATAAAAAATAAAAATAAAAAAAGAGAGAGAGAGAGAGAGAGAGAGAGAGAGGAGAAGGATAAGAGGAAGGAGAAGAAGAGAGAACAAGCAAGGCTGCTGACCGTTTGATTCTGAAAGAAGAACCAACAAACACAAAAGAAAGGGCGCAAGGGCCAATGGAGAGAAAATGGGAGATTTCAAAGACAGAAGAATGTCGGAGTAATGGATAAACCGGGTGCATAATAATAATGGTATTAAAATGATCGGTTTCGCCCAATTCTGAGTTGAGGAATGAGTGAGTAACGTTGGCGGGAATAGACAAAGGGGTGGCCTTCATTGTCGTCTCCAAAGTACCACGGTGTGTGTTTTTGCGTGCGGGTTGGTTTGAGGCATTTTGGGCAATTGGGTAGAGGTAGAGTGGATAAAATAAGAGAGAGTAAAGAGTAACTTGGGTGGAAAAGCGGTCCCGTTTCTGTCTGCAGAGTAGGTTGGTTGAGAGCTTAAATGCAGCACATGTAATATACTCAGCTCACCAACCACTCCAGCATCCAGAGAAGGCAGAAGCTTCCAACTTCCTTTCCTCTTTATGAAATGAATAAAACATAAACGCAAGAGAAAGAGATTGTCACGTTATACCTTCGTGACTTTCACGATTGTAGTATCGATTCCGTGGGCGGCGGTGTCGAATCGACAATTCGAGCCCCAGTAGCAATCTTTCTTGCCTACCTCACTCTGCGGACAGCGATGGCCATATATACAGCCGGGATCATCGCACTCCGTGCCGAACCGACATGGCGTCATCCGCGCAACCGCGTGCAAGACGACACGCTCATTCTTCGACAATTTATGATCGTGAGTGTGGTAGCAGCTTAAATTGGGACAGTCACCAAGCAAATAGTATAGGTTACATAATTTTAACTTCTTCACTCGATTTAATTCGTCCTTGGGGATAGTTTTGAAATCTAACCGGTCAATGCGTTCGCCGTATTTATTGCGCTCGACCTTGGATGGTGCGGGGCTGCTTGGTTTCGAGGCTGTTAAATCGGTAAATGGCCCCTGGGCTCCCGCTGCCGTGGTTGCGGCCCATGTTGGCGGTGTGCTTGTTCCATTCGACGGGATGGTCGAGTTGGACGGGATGCGAGCAAGGCCGTGGTTGCCAGGCGTATTAGGCGATAGGGCGGATAGCGGTGCAGAAATTGGGGTAGGGATGGAGTTATTATTCGTCCCATTCCGGTCATTCCATGAAGGTGGGTTCGTAATTATCTTTGAGGTCCGGAAAAGCTCTTCAAATTTAGTTACTCTGTAAGAAGCTCCCATAGGTACTAATTCTCGTTCGAATGGGACGCCTTCGATTAAGGATATTCGTCCAATAAGGTCGCGATCCGCTAACGTATCTTCAAGCAGTCTCGCATAGCCGTTATCATGAGAACAGCCGAGGAATATTTGGTGACAATGGCAATTGTATAAATGGAGCTTAAAAACCTCTTTGAAGACATTTTGAAGTTAGTAAACGTCCTAAAATGGCTACTAGAGTAGGGGGTGGGTGAGGGAACCAGCATACCAGCGAGCTTATCATCGGCTCTATCTTTACCACTACCCACATCAACGAAATCAAACAAGAGCCTACTCCCATTGAATCCACGAGTAAATTCTTCAATTAGGCCTGGACGTTCAACAAGACCAGCTTTATAGCATGCATCAGCTAATCCTCTGACGTTTGCATATACCCGAGCTATAATTTTTGGCGATGGTATGTTCGGAAAAGTTCGAGACGCATAGTCACGGATTGCAGCCCAGAGCTGATTCGCAGCGTCTTTACCACCCTGTTCACCTTGTTGCAGAAAAGAGTCCTGGAATATCATGCCATCACCATCGAGAAGAACGAGAAGAAATGGTTCTTGTTCCTACCACAACCAACAAAGAACTGACAGTTAGACCGACGGGGGATATCGTATATAGGTATGGGGATGACAAAACCGCACCATCACAGTTTCCATAGCAGTTATCTGTTTCATAAGCTCCATTTCATGCATTTGCACTTCACGATTAAAACGGGATTCGCGTTCATGGTCTAATCGGGTTTGTTGATATGCATTTTCGAGCTCGGCAACCCGCCGTAAAAGATCCTATTTAACCAATATGAGAAGGCAAAGTCAAAGTAGAGAGGTGGGCGGAGATTAGCACTTCAATTAACTCATTCTTTGACTGTTCAATCGCTTTGACCTGCTCGTAACGCTGGAAAAACTCCTGGGCTGTGGAGCTAGCCATCTTGTTTAAGCTGAGATGTGCAGCGCGCGTGCTGAGTAGATGGAGGGAATGTTTACCGGCAGGGTGTGAGAAAGGAGAAAAACAAGTCGGACTAAAGGGTTAGGCTATAAAAAGGGCAACAATATAAATAGTAAGTCAGCTGTCAGTATATCACCCACAGTATGGTGATAATAATATCAGCTCGATGATTCCGTACCGTTCACTCGAACCCTGCGTAGCGCCAATCCGCGTCTAATTCCGCGTCTAATTCCATCAAGCGGCGCAAGTTGGGCTGCTGACTCATCACGCTTACAAGGTTCCACCGTTCTGATGTGACATACGTGGAAATTAAGCTCAGCGTTCCCATACATTAGGGGACTGGCATTTCTAACTTCCTTCTTCAATTCCCACTCTATCGCTCTTTTCCCCTCTTCCCCCCCCCTCCTAATCTCCTCCCTATACATTTAATAAAACTATCATCGCCAAAATGGGGAAACTTGGGCTGCTGTCAGCTGTGCTGCTCTCGTTGCAAGCCGTCCTGGTTCGCGGGGATTCTGTGAGTTATTTTCTATGCAAATGTCCTTTCGCGGCGAGGCACCTGCTGATACGAACCCGTGATTGCAATAGCCCGCTCAGCCTGCTGCTGAGGAAGTCATAGCCCCAACATTGAATGTTAGCGTTTCGGCTTCTTTTCCCAACTCCGAGATCTTCGGAGTGACGCTCGTAAACGGCAACCCGACTCAAGCTCTTCTCACCATCTCCAACAATGAACCTGATCCAGTGACGTTGAACTTGATCGCAGGAAGTCTATGGACAGTTGATCCTGCGGGAGAGCCTGTTCAGAATGTCCGCAACCTCACTTCTTCCCGCTACGATGTTGCGATCCCCGCTGGGGGCCAGCACTCGACGGGATATGCCTTTGTCACTGAAATGCATCCCCAGGACTTGAGATTGCATCTGGCCGCCGTTATCTCCAATTCAAATAGCATGGCATTTACCGTCCAGGCCTATAGCGGCACCGTTAGTATCGTCGAGCCGGAAACGAGCATCTTTGACCCTAAAGTGTGAGTATTTCCTGTCTCCCAACTTTGCTTCACGGCATGTGCTAATGTCGCATACTATTTCCCAGCCTCTTCCTCTGGTTCTTCCTCCTATCCGCCTTCGTTGGCACCGTCTACTTCGCCTATACCATCTGGATCGCTCCATACTTCCCCCAGAAACGCAAGGGTGGCGACAGACCGAAGAAATCTTTCGGACAGACCAAGAGCGAGACATCTGAGCATGCCTCCGTTTCTGGAACCGAATCAACAGGTGTCGCGTCTGGAAAAACCTATGACACTGAGTGGATCCCTGCCCACCACATTCACCGACCCGAGCCTCGAAAAGTGAAGAGCGGAGGCCGGGCGAAGCCCAAAGCTTAGTGCGATCCTTTTGACCAGACAATTACCTATTTGGATGATATAATATGCCTTCAAACGATCTATATGGCGATTGTCATTTCTTTCCGGAGTCCGGTTAAAAAAGAAGAACAATAGTTGATATAGTTTGGAACGGATCCTCCAAAACCAGCGATAACAATATGCGTCTTGTGGAGAGCTCCCTTGACCCAAACGGGATTGGTAGCTTTCCGCGATGCGACTTTGTATTAGTACATTTGGGTTCGGTATCTTGTTCCTTTCTTTCCATTTTAAATTTGTATTACTTATCAAATAATATATATTCGATCTGGGTTCATACGAAAGAGGAAGAATATTTCGTGGTGTTTGTTCGATATTCCCATGGCATCTTGAAAATACAATTTTTATTATTTACCCTAAGGTCCGCAATTCTATAGCATCAAGCTATGATGAGATGTTGAGCCAATGTATATAATTTACCTCCAGCATACACGACGGAACCCTGAGTGAGGGATTGGGAACAATAAACATTAAAATAAAAAAATTATTATTCGTCAGGCAAGCATTGGTCAAAGTGCCCTCCAAGCTTGAAACTCCTCTTCCAGATGGGCCTTCAGCTGCTGAAATTTATTGCCAAACATTTTTCCGCACCTCCAGCACTTAAAATCGAGCCTCAAATACCCTTCCCTCCCCGGATGCCTCCGCACATCATCCTCCGCCAACGGAAAATCCTCAACATCGACGAAAAAAGGGGTTGAAAAGCTATTATAATGTCTCCGATGTCTGAGGCATGGGCTAAACCTATCTACGGCAAGAACATGTATATGCAAGTGGTTCATAGAAGGGTGCGCATGGATGCCGCACATAATCTCCTTCTCCCAGTCGCGACCGGCTGGCAGTTCGTCGGGCGGTGGATCCGCATCCATAGCTTGCTGGCGCGCGATTTCTTGTGCGGAAGTTGTGCTGTACATCCTCCGTAATTCCGCAGCTGCTAGACGTTTTAATTTCTTCGTCTCTTTTTGGACCTTCTGAAGGAATTCTGGGTCTTCCAAAGCTTCGAAGGGGTGTAGGCGTGTTTTTGCTGGATTGCGTGGTAGGAGGAGGAGGTGGAGCGAGGACTTGGGGTAGCGGTCATGGACGGCAACGAAGTCATCGTTATAGTAGAGGACGACGGAAGGGGGAAACGCTGAAGGATTTTCGATATAGGGGCCTAGGTTATCACGGGAGTTGAATACGTTTGAGAGCTTGTGAGAGGCGGATATTGGTTGTAGCGGCGGTTTGGTTTTGGGGGCCATAAGTTCGGTAACTGCAAAACAGGGGTGAGATATCAGTTATAAATGGATGGGATGCTCAAAATAAATATGGGATAATACAAGCATTCCGGCTCTGCTCTGTTTGATTTGAGGGCGCTTCTGTTTTATGCTCCACTGGAACATTTCCGGCGCTGGAGCTATGCGAAGAGCTCTTGCTCATCGGTTAAGGGGTCGGTTAAGGAGTTAAAAGTGTTAGTAAAATGTTTTAGATATCTGTAAGGGTTTCATGAAACGGTCATGTCAACTGCAAAAACATAGGGCTGATAATATCAACTTCGCAAACGGATATTCTGTCACCAGCTCAAGGCTGAGCGCGCTGATAAGATAAGATCTGCTTATTAAGCGATTCAGAGCCTCACATCGAACTTTCAGCTTAGTGACAGCGATGAAATATTAATTAAATCACTGAATTAACTAACACCGGGAACTGGGGACTTGCTCGGTTTTTCGTGATCTACTATGGGCCCGAAGAAGGGAGGCGGCCCCCGTGGTGGATCTAAAAACACCCCCAAACCGCCTCCAGCAGAAATCTCCATTAGCGACTTCGTGGCTGCTGGTGAGTCCAAGGGGAAATCCAAAGCCGCGGACCGAAATAAGGCTGGCCAAAAGGACGGCAAAGATGAGTCGAGCGAAGCGCCAAAGAAGCCAACAGCACGGACGGTGATAGGGGGCGCATCATGGACTGGAAAGTTACCTGTGAATATGCTCTTGGAGCACTGTCAGAAACAAAAATGGGACAAACCGGAATACACAATGGTAAGAAGCCCCATTTGCATGTCGCGTTAGGGGAGCCACATGGCAATTCGGATCTCTGATAATGACTGATATATTCCAGACAAAAACGAAAGATGGCTTCGTCTCAAGCGTTATTCTCAAGAAAACTAATCCGAAGTCAAAGGAGACTATCACTCTTCCTCCAATACGCCCCCCTCCACCTCACCAGCATTTGGCTGCCTGTCCCACGGCGATGGAAGCTCGTCACTTTGCCGCGGCATACGCTCTTTTTCGTGTATGCAACATGCGTAATTTACACACGATGATGCCGCCTACCTACCGCAATCTGTGGAAGGACGAGTTTACACAACTAAAGAATGCGGACGTGAAAGAAGGGAAAGGCTGGTTGTATGAAGCAGACCCTTTCAATGCTATGCAGGAACGGGAACATGCGGCGGCAGAGCTTGCTAAGAAGAAGGCAGAACGGGAAAAGGAGCAAGCCAAAGCTCAGGACCGAAAACTACAACAGCCAGGGCTGAATACACGCGCGGGGAGCGCCGGGTGTCACGATGGGAAACGCTGGCTGCAAGCTTCTAAGGTTGAAATGGGAAGCAAGATACGTCGTACAATTGAAGAGTTGATTAGACAGAAAGTTATTTGGAATCCATACGGCGTGCGAATATCGGATCCCCAAAAGAAGCGAATTGTAGAAGAGTTGACTGGGCTAGGCTTCAGGAAGAGTCACGTTGAAGAAGCAGTCTCTGAATGCAAAGACCGTGAAGAGGTTTTGGAGTGGTTGTTGATACATATTCCAGAGGATGATCTCCCTGCCTGGAGTCTTCCTGAAGGGTATACTGCTGGAATAAGTCTAGCTAGTGGAGATCTATCCAGGGAATCCAAGGTCAACCGGCTTTCCATGTCAGGTTATTCAGCAGATTTCTGCGCTGAAGTACTTGACAAGAACCGTGGTAATGAATACCTAGCGGCCGAACAACTCCAAAATATGCTCATACAAGACGGCATTGTGCCCGAACCTAGCTCTCGTGCCACGGATATGGAGGCTTGGGAGGAAGAACACTCGACATTAGAAGCAATATATGGCGAGAGATATACAAAATTGTCACCAATTACATGTGAAGTTATTTCTGAGAACCCGAATTTGCCATGCAGAACGATTTTCTATTTCCAAAAGCCGTCAACTGCTCCATACCCGAACCGCACACCAGTTCTTTCTATTGCAGCAAAGGAAATTCCAGCATACATACGCCTTAGCGCTATCCGACAAGCCATACAACATGCTAATAAGGACCTGCTTGGCGAGCCCATGATATTTAATTTGGTAGATTGGCTCGAAGAAAATCTACCTCGCATATTGGAAAACCCAGGAAAGCTGCGGACCGTCTCCGTCGAGACATTATCTCACTCCAGGAACGAGTCGACCACCAACAGCTGCATTAAATCGACTAGAAGAGCACCAAAGCCGCTGAATCTAAGCCCTGGAACCCCCCAAAGCCTGGAAATTCGGAAAAAATGGGAGTCACAACAAACTACCCCTGCTCAACAGAAAATGCTCAGGGCGAGGCGGTCGCTTCCAGCATGGGCTATGCAGGAAGCAATTATCCATGCTGTCCATTCTCACCAGGTTACTATCGTATCGGGTGAGACGGGGAGCGGCAAAAGCACCCAGTCAGTTCAATTCATTCTTGACGATATGATAAAACGAGATTTCGGTTCGGCCGTGAACATCGTCTGTACGCAGCCCAGACGAATTTCTGCCCTGGGACTTGCTGATCGTGTTAGCGATGAGCGCTGTTCCACTGTTGGTGATGAGGTAGGCTACGTTGTCAGGGGCGACTCGAAAGTGAAATATGGCACAACGAAGATTACGTTCATGACTACTGGTGTACTGTTACGCCGCATGCAAACGGGTGGCCAAGATGTTGTCAGTTCCCTTGCAGATATTAGCCATGTGGTTGTTGATGAAGTTCATGAACGGAGTCTTGATACGGATTTTCTTTTAGCATTGTTGAGGGACGTCCTCCGACGTCGTAAGGATCTTAAGCTCATTCTAATGAGTGCTACATTGGATGCAGATATATTTACGCAATACTTTGGAGGAGGCGGTAAAGTTGGGCGAGTCAATATATCCGGGAGAACATTCCCCGTTGAAGATCTCTATCTCGATGACGTCGTTAGGCGGACTGGCTTCAGCCCTGGAAATCAATATTTGGCTTGGGATGAATATTCTGGTTCGAATGACGACGATTCCACGGATACTTCCGTCGGTGCCATACTCCAAAAAATCGGAATGGGTATTAATTACGATTTGATTGCGTTTACGGTCCGCTATATTGATTCGCAACTAAAGGACCAGCCAGGCGGCATCCTTATCTTCCTACCAGGTACCATGGAAATAGATCGATGCTTAGCTGCTCTAAATCATCTTCCATTTGCTCACCCGTTGCCATTACATGCATCTCTTTTACCAACTGAACAGCGTCGGGTCTTCCTGCCAGCTCCACCTGGGAAAAGAAAAGTAATTGCTGCCACTAATGTCGCGGAAACGTCCATCACAATCGAAGATGTGGTTGCTGTCATAGACACGGGGCGTGTCAAGGAAACGCGTTACGACCCTGCTGACAACATGGTCCGCCTGGAAGAGGTGTGGGCATCGCAGGCTGCTTGTAAACAGCGTCGAGGTAGAGCAGGTCGAGTGAGCAGTGGAACTTGCTACAAGATGTATACACGGAAGGCAGAAGCCAATATGGCCCCCAGGCCAGAACCTGAGATCCGACGCGTACCCCTGGAGCAACTGTGTCTTTCAGTCAAAGCAATGAGGGGAATAGAAGATGTAGCAGGCTTCCTTGCAAACACACTTACCCCACCCGAGAACGTCGCGATAGAAGGTGCACTAGAACTTCTCCACCGCATTGGTGCACTTGATAATCAGCAGTTAACGGCTTTGGGTCGGTATATTTCCATGATTCCAACGGATCTACGTCTAGCGAAACTAATGATATACGGCGCAATATTCGGGTGTCTTGAATCATGCCTAACAATCGCAGCAATACTTACTGTCAAAAGCCCGTTTGTATCGCCTCGAGACAAAAGGGAAGAGGCCAAGCAAGCTCGGGCATCGTTTTCAACGGGGGACGGAGACTTGCTGATCGACTTGGCGGCGTACCAGCAATGGTCTGAAAGAGTCAAACAGCAGGGCCTCTGGAAAACACAATCATGGTGCAACGACAACTTCCTCGTGCCCAAAACTCTTCGCGAAATATCCTCCAACAAATCTCAACTGCTATCCTCGCTCAAAGATATCGGCATAATCCCGGTGAACTACAGATACGCAGATGAAAGTGCTAGCACGCCTCCAAACCGCTGGAATACCCACAACTCCAACACGCAACTCCTCCGCGCCCTGATCGCCGGCGCCTTCAACCCCCAAATCGCCAACATCAGCTTCCCAGACAAGAAGTTCGCTCCATCGGTGTCCGGGACCATAGAGCTAGACCCTGATGCGCGCACGATCAAATACTTCAACCAGGAAAACGGCAGGGTGTTCGTGCACCCCAGCTCCAGTCTCTTCGACGCGCAGAGTTTCTCCGGTTCTGCCACATATGTGAGCTACTTCACGAAAATGGCAACTAGCAAAGTGTTCATCCGCGATTTGACCCGTGAGTCAATGGCCTCCCGTCACCCTTTGAAAATCCCCACATCCCGTACTGTGTGCCACAAATCTAACAATCGTATTAAAACCACAGCGTTCAACGCATATAGCCTCCTCCTATTCTCGGGGCCCATAACCTTGGATACTCTAGGCAGGGGCGTGCTGGTAGATGGCTGGCAGCGTTTGCGCGGCTGGGCGCGGGTCGGTGTACTGGCCTCGCGTCTACGTATGTTACTGGACGAAGCTCTAGCGCAGAAGATGGATAACCCAGGCCTTGAGGACATGGGTGAAGAGAAGGTGATAGATGTTGTGAGGCATTTGGTTGTTTTTAATGGACTGGATCAGTAGTAGGTAAAAATTGATAAATAGACGGAGTCATACGTGATCATGATGAGTGGCGTTTGCTTTGTTCTGTTTTTGGGGGTATATCCGTCAATGCTCTGATGACATCCCTTTTTGGACACGTTCTTTGGACACATCTTCCCAGATTCCCACTTCGCCGGATGGGTAACTACGCAAATATAAAAAGCATTTTATATCAATGGCGTAGACAAATAAACACAGGTCACGGTTCTAACTACGATGCTTCCTTGGAAGCGAGATTTGGAATAGGAGAATATACATAGACCAAGCTGATAATTGTAGACTACCTAATGTAGCATAAAAGTTCCGCCCAAGTCTTCCCATCCATCGCCATTCTTCAGATTCTTCAACAAGAGCAAGAGGGATAAGTCCGCTTGAAGGCTTAGGACTGAAAACGGGAATAGAATTAAACTTATCATTGATCAAAAGAGAAAATAATCATTCATAAAATAGAATGAAACACAATAAAAGCTAGACCATAAGAGAGTAAAACACGCAGCAAGCCAAAGAAAAAAGAGAAAGGGGACCGGAATCATGGAAAAATAATAGAATCCGACAACTCCATTCTCCGCGCGCCCAGCCACCCCACCCGAGCAAAAAACCAAACAGTCCCAAAACCAAAACAATAGGCTGCAATAACCACCCATATCCCATTTCCCACCCATTCCGTCCCATTAGAGATTTAAAAAAGAAAAAGAAAAGAAAAGAAAAGAAAAGAAAAGAAAAGAAAAAGAAAAAGAAAAAGAAAAAAAGAAAAAAAGAGAGATAGGGAAAAAATAAAGGAAAAAATATATACTCAATGTCTGGAGAAAAGAGAAGAAGGGCCGCATACGTATAAATGATAAGGGAAAAGCGAATTCGCTCAGAGATTCACGTCAGCATGTGCCCTTCGACGGGGAAAAAAGATATAGAGAAAAGTAAAAGAGTAGGGGAAGCAAAATGTAGCAAGAAAGGTGTAGCGCTTCTGAGCAAGGAGAAAAAATCCGAACGAATGTTCTGTACGTATAGAACCGTTTGGTTGTACCGATGTCCCAAAAAACGAAAAAGTGCCGCACGGACGTGAATGAATGTGCGGGAGGGTTGGAATAGAGTCGCAAGGTAAACCAGGAATTGATCAACCGAACGGCAGGTATTAGATGGAAAAGGAGAGAGTCTAAACCATTCGTCGGAAGGCTGTTGTGGGCGGAACAAGAACAAAGGAAAAGTGGCCGCATCGCTAGCTTTAGAGTCCTCGCAGAAATGAAAATCTACACAACGCCATTACGAGAATTGAAAACTAAACGCCTTTGATTGGTTGACAAGAAAAGTGAAACCGCAATCAACCCCGATAGGAAACCTGTATACGCCATTATGCGCGCCGGCTTGGATGTAATGAAAGCAAAAGGGAAAAAAAAAGGTCGTATGTTGCTGGGGTAGCTAGGGTATAAAGGAGGGTGAGATAATAGAGAGATATGTGGTTTTCAATCTGTAAAATGTGGGAAAGTGGCAACATATCAAGAGCCACGACGTAGCGTCGGCGAAACGGAGAGTTAAGAAACATTGTCGAGTAAAGGAGAGTGGGTATCAAATCGTTATGCTTATAAACGGGATGTTTTGTCGAGGCAAAAACCAGGAGAAATATGTTCCGTTGCGAGTACGAAATATTTATGGAAAACCCGAACAGCGAGTAAAGAAGTGATATGTATTGGCGGAAATAGAAGGAGTGGAAGTTGAGGTTTGGCGGTGATATCGTAAACCCTAGTAGCCTATTGACGGCGCCAGGTAGACGCGTCCTCGAAGAGGTTAATTAAATGAGCAGCGGAGCCCTCACGGGCCGCTTCTGGGAGCTTGAATTTCTTCATCATCTCTCCTTTCACGAAGGTAGAGGCCCGCTTGAATCGTCTGTCAGAGTACTTTTCGTAGACAGCGGAGTGATGCTTCATCGGGTCCTCGCAGCATTCAAGGATGAGCGAAACAAGTGGATACAACTGGGAGTATGTATAATTTGAATAATATACGTGAGCAGGGGTCTGCAAGGCTAGTTAGAAATAGGACGAGTTGAAGCCGGTTTTAAAGGAGACTTACCCAGGTTCCCTTCCTCAACATCAATCTCGCGAGGCAATGAGCACCCGCAGCAGTGAAGCTCGGAGGGGTACCAACAAAGCGTTCGTCCATGATGGTAATCTCCAGGAAGTACTTGGCAAGAGTTCGTGTCTCCAAGTCGTAGTCATCAGCCTTACTAATCCGCCGGAGGAAACTCATGGGACCTGGCCAGCCTAGCTCGAATTGCAGCATGCTGAGCATAAAGCGCTCCGCCTTCAAAATTTCATCGGCAGTATATCCGTTATCTACCATATAGATAATCTCCTGAAGAGATGGGCAGTTGATTTCCTCGTACTTAGCTGCAATAAAAATTGCAGTAGCTCCAACAAGCTGCAACTTGCCAAGGGAAACAATCTTGCATGACAGAAATCGGTCAATGTAATTGACACAGAGGAAAAGGGTTTCCGGCAGCAAGGAGAATCGATGATGGACTTGAACGAGCCAGTCCATAAGAACAGAGCGCATCGACCATTGGATTTCTGCTTGATTATCCATGTAATGGGCATTTGGCAAGAGCCTCATCTGTGAAATTATGTTAGTTACAAATGAGCAGGTCTCGTGCGTCAAAAGGTAAGTACCTCAAGCTCCCTCATATACTGAAATATCTCATCTCCATACTCAGCAACCATGCTAGTATCCCAAGCTTCATCTTCAATATCCTCCGGCGTGCGAGTTGCTTCAACAATTTCCTTCGCAATGCTCAACTCTCGCTGTACCTTCTGTGTGACCTTTGGCATCAAAAGAACCGTTGCACCTCCGGTGGTATTATCACGGGATCGATGTGAGCGAGCGGTAACGTATCCATCCTCCTCATAGTTATCATCGTCCTCGTCGTCCCAATATTCTTCTGGTTCCGAAGCCAAATGTACGTGGTCATGCTTGAGGCGAGAAGGGTCAGAATTCTCGGAGACAATTGCACGGTGTTCAGTAACGTGCTTCGTAGATACTACTTCGACGTCACTTGTGAGGACTGGTTGTGCATTGGAGCTAGGCATGGGCTTCTCGTGCATTATGTGACCCTTTTCATGGTGCGAATACGACTTAACCTCTCCGTTCTCTTTAATATATACGCCATCTGACCGCAAGGCAGCAGGTTCTTCTGAGCTGATTGACACGGACGAATGTTGCAGGTCCTTTTTCATTGGATTGTTCGCTTGAGCTGCATTAACTGGCTTATCATTCACAGCCGTGTTGTTACTCGCGATAGTTGCTGACCGCTGTGCCACGTGATCGACAGGTCCCTTGTTATTCACCGCAGGAGCAGAAGTTTTGTGGGTCTGCGAAGTAATAGGCTCGGATTCTACCGCGGAAGGTAGTGCAGTGTCTTTGAACACGGTATTGCGTTTAGTGATGGCTTTTCGAGGGTTACCAGGAAGCTTATCAAGTGCAGAATGGTTCGTGTTGGGACCGATCACGTTGACGTTGAAATTGGAAGCGCTGACTTGGGCAAGTTTAGCACCTGCAACCGACAGGGGCCTCTGAGCGGGTCGAGATAAGGCGGTTGGCTTTTCAGTGACTGTTGATAAGCCCTTTGAAGGGACAGCTGGATCATCCCTAGTTGGTCGCGTAGTATTGGCCGTGTTGCTGAGATCCCCGAAAGCCGTACGTTTAACAGCATTCTTCACTCCACCAGGTTCGCCCAGTGTTGACAACGCCGGTGTCGATTTATTACGATGGTGGAGTGTCTTTCCGGCCGGATTGATAGGGGCCAGCAAGTTCTCGTCTCCTAGGACGCGTAGAGGGCGAAAAGGCCGTTGAGGCTGGATAAAAGAAACATGGCTGTCAGCAAAGGCATTCATTTTAGGTGAATATTCGACCCAAACAACATGGATGGAATCGAGATATCAACGCGATTTGACCAGATATCCACCAGCCAAAGGCAAAAAGGGGTAAATAGGAGTAAAAGATGGACGGGAGAAGGATCTGATGCTAACCTTTGCATCCATTTTGGCGTTGATACTAGCAGCAAGAAGCTGTGTTTCTTATAAGTCTATGTCGAATGAACCACAGAGGCGTGTAGCAATGTTTACGTGCACCTCGATAGCTAGAGATCTAAGCGTTGTTTCTAGGGTCCTCTGGAAGGGCAGGGCCAATTGGGGGGTATTTTGGACCGGCACGTCCAGAAAAAGGAGAGTCAATAAAGCTCCGCCATTAAAAGTGCGAGCAAAAGTGGTTGATGGTAAACAGGCGGCCGGGTGGTGGAGGGGAGAGGGGAATTCTGTGTGGAGCGGTTGTTGTTGTCGATGCTGCGATGTTTAGTTTGTTGATGGCCAGGAGCGATAAACAAAGCTAGTCCTGTTGTGGGCTAGCGGCGGGTAAGTTGGCTGACAACCCAAGCGACGCTGATTACGTCATAACCGAGGGTTGAAAACACGTCTTCCGGCGCTTGTCCAGAATTGCCGCCCTTACTGTAAAAGTCCAATCCCCTAACACTTTTATTTATAAACCAATATTTTCTATTGAGCATATACACGCGACCTCAGTTGAGAAATCTCTTATTTGTGCAATCACTCGCTGTGGTGTAATTATAGTATTTGTATAGTTTGCATTCTTCGCGTGTAGCAGAACACGCCCAAACGCCAAACCACGTGAGCGGAGTGTCGCAAACCATCCGTTGCCGAAAAACCATCCAATCCTGTTTGAGCGCTGGGTCAGAATTGCCCTGCCAGCTCATTCAAAACACCCTCGGGATCCAGCGTAAACCACATCAAATAAACCTTCCAGTTTTTCCCGTAAACGCGACAAAATAGCCAAGTTTTTTTCCCCATCTCCCACGTAGCCAGAATTATTTTTGCCGAACCAGAAAGGTTATATATTGGTGGCACAATTGGGTGGGGCCGCAACCACAATTTTCGGGAACATACTGCACCGCCATCAAAAGAATGATGGAACAAACTGTTTCGATGATGAATTATTATTAGGTACGGAAAACGGGTGTTTCGGCCAGACTTTTATGTCTTCATTCGCCAGTATAGCCGCCCGCCCACACGGGCCACAAATGATACACATCACCACCGCCAAGTCAAACCTGGGCAAATCACCACCAAGAACAAGTCGTCTCCTGGACAAACCATGCCCCAACTGTTCATTTTCCAGTGACGGCGACAAAGTCGCATCATAAACCTCACAAAATGTAATTGTGATGAACCCGACCAATCCCCGAACTCTATTGGATTGATACGCACTCACCGTAGGACAGAGGAAAGGGGGAAGGAAAAGGGAAAAAAAGTGAGCAGCGAGCATGGTTCAAGACGAGAGAATAAATTTATTGCTTGTCACTTGAAGGTAAAACGCAGCGCATGCCCGCCCTTACCCTTCCCCCCCCCTCGGGAACTTCCGCGATGAAGGTTGACAGTTTTGAAGCGCATTCCATGTCTCCACATGCAATTGCAACATAAAAAAAAAGCGACAGAGGCCGGCAATGGCACAACGGGATAAATCATAGAATATATAAATATAAACCAGTAGGCATAAACCCTTTTCTCCCCCCCCCGGGATGAATATCACCGAGCGACGAGCAGGGAAAGAGGCAGGGCTGCGCATGAATCCATTGAGCCTTGCCAGCGTCTGGTTTGCTGAAAGATTATGGCTGCTGATTGTGAGCTGGCTGGGGAATATTAATAATAGGAAGGTGGCGATGGCATCTGATTTGGGGAAACGGGGTACACCCAACATGGATGGTTTATGTAGTTTTACCCAGCTGATCAACGCCGGCTGTGTGCGATGGATTCCTGATACTTTTTTACAAGATCCGCGTGCGCAGCAAATTAACGTAAGAATCGCTTGACTCCTTATCCTTTTTTGCGCCAGAATGCGTCTGTCTATCTATCCGTCCACCTATTCATTGTCATTTTCCTGTCTATGTCTTGTTCACTGTGGCTATGGTTCTGTAGATATAAAACCAGCATTTTACATTTCCTTTCAGCTACCAACTAGAAGCAACCCCAGAAAAATCTCCCACGAGATGGATGCGACAATTATCAAGAATCCCGTCTTGCTGTCGAATCAACGACATGAAACAACAATTGGCCTGAACTACCTAAAGGCCGAGTTGCGAATGCGCCATGCCGCCTCTTTATGCTTTTCTAGATACGCTACTAGTTCTTGCGCTGCATCCACAACACCCAGCTTGACGGGATGGACGAGCACAGGGACTGTCCCCATTATCATCATGAATTAACTCTTAATAACAACATGCCATATTCCCCTTAAACTTCTGATGCAACACATAACAAATTTGTTGAGGATCTCGCAGTGCGACAACCCCAGGTGCCTGCCTAGTTACCTTGTATGATTGGTTAGGCTCGTTCGTGTGTGTGTCTTGCTGCTTTGGTTTCGCGCGGGCCTGGGCTGGTAAAATAATAGTCAGCGGGCCATGGCTGATACACTGCCAGACCAAAAGAATGAAGGGTTTTGCCTGTTCAGGTGGCCCGAGAGCCCAGCTAACTGAAGGATAAATATTTTTGTCCTCTAATATCTCCGTTCCGTGGGACGTGTGTGTCGCCCGTCAATAATCATCAAGGCCGAGAGTGGCGGTGGATTCCCTCCCCTCCCTCCCTCCATCCCTCCATCCATCCATCCATCCATCCATCCATCCATCCATCCATAGAGTCATGAAGAATGCAATGAGAAAAGGGAAAAAGAAAAAGTCTCAATGGATGGATCTGTAACTTGTAGCCTGTTTCTTCGCCCCTTTCCCCCAGACCATCTGAAATCACATATGGATGCTCATGAACATGGCGTGCGACTACTCCTCAAACTAAGCCCACCCCATAACTTTACATTTATAACGTCCATTTGACTGCTTCGACGTGGCCGCACGGCACCGCACCAGGAAGGTGGATGGGCAAAATCCGGCCTTACGAAAAAGACCGGAGATCCAGTCGATTTTTCTCCTCTTTCCCACTACCAACCAGAGCCAGAACCTTACCGCAGCCAGCGCTGTCTCGTCTCCGCATGCATGGCGACCTTTTTATGCGCAGGAATCTTGGACAAACTAAATAATAACAATCAATAGTAAAAGCATGATTCTGAAGGAGGGGGATTTTTAGTTTTACTTTTCTTGCAGCCGTGGCCTTGGTTAGTTGACAATTGGATTTTCTAAGGGCCCTCTTTGGGCAAAAAAAACTTCCCAAGGCTATCCCCTATATCGCGTGGGAATTGGCAGTTTGAAAACGAATAAATGCATAAATGAGACCCATAGGCAGTATCGCATTATTATGATATATCTAATAATTTACCTATTTTCATTCTTCGAACTACAAATTGTTGTATATCAAGCGGGAGGAGTCTGTACATAGAACCGCAGAGCGCACAGAGACACGAGCTGTCGCATTCATCTGGGCGGATGCATTAGTTGACGAAACCTACACAGCCGTCGCATTCTTGTAAATTAACATCCGTCAGGACGAAATAGCGGGTAGGGATACTGCTGGATTTAATGCGACGTTGCGATATGGGAAGACAGCTGGGGGATGAAACGATGATCATGACCACAAGGTAGCGAGCGGTAGCGAGCGATAGCACATGGGAACAGGAGAGCGCCAAACACATATTACTATAGAGAGTTGAAGAATAGATTATATATAATCATTAAATGTGCTTGCTTGCAGGTCATACCTCTGCAGCACATGGTATATTTTATGGAGATCGGCTTGGTTGACTTTGGTTGACCTGACTTTGACTGGGCCGTGTGTTGTGTGAAACGTCTCCGGTTCGCAAGTTCGCTCCCACCTCACCTCAACCTCTCAACCTCTGCCTCTTCTGCCTCCTCTTCTTTTTCATCCTCCGTTGTCAACCCTAAACACTCGACAACTCCCTCAGATGGCTTGCATCTGCTCCATTTGACGGGCTGCTATCCCATCTCACATGCTATGTAAGTATTATCCTCTTCCCTTGTACCCTGCATGCTTCTCTATTTGACTGGTTCTGTCGCTGAGCTGCCACCAGATTGACTGCATCCGCCGACGAGGCCCTTCATCCACTGCGAATCTCCATCATCGCCAGCATTATTTTGGAATCATACTTAGTATACTTCTGCGACCCTGTCCAAGCTATTTTGCTTCAGTATAGGTATCTTCCCCTCTCCATGTCTACTGCACCCTGCCCTTCCGCCTTTCTGCCCAAACCCTCAATCCTCAACGCTGCCAACACACCTCGCCCTGGCTGGCTGCTCATCCCTACCCATCTCCCCATCCCTAATCCCCAAACACCACAGCGCTTATTCCTTCTTCTCCATTCTGCGACTCTATATTTACGATTCTAACTGTTCCCGTTTCATCGTTCTCTCAGGAAATCTCTCATTATCCTCGCCTGTTTTCTTTTCCCTTTGACTTTTTTTCTCCCTCTCCAGCCCTGCTGTACCTTGGGTTGCGCAGGAATACACCCTGCTCTTCCTTGCAACAATAAAACTTCGCCCATTTGGGTGTCAAAACCTCGCATAACTTCGATCAATTCGATTTGGATGGTTGTGATGAGATAGATGGAACTCAGGAGTCTCCTCACGGACCAGCCGTCGCATGCAAGTTCTGCCAACGGGCCCTTGTCCACCCCACAATCTCGACCCTTAGAGAAAGCCCAACACTACGTTACAACGATGACATCTGCACCTCCCCAGAACCAAGTGACACATAAGGATGGTTATTCCACTCCTTCTGACGCTCCTGCTGCCATTGATGGCTATGGTAGTGGCCCTGTTTCGCAGCAGCCATCCCCTTGTAGTCCATCTCCCAAGCACGTTGCCTTCGAGCTTCTCCTAGACGAAAACTCGAAGGTTAGGGCGCGTATCCCCATGCGAGTGCAAATATTCCCTCATGATACTACTGATTCGATCGTTACCACTGTCAAAAATTTCTATGGCATCTATGAAGGTGCAGCAAGCGGTGTGAGCTTCGAGGATGAGAATGGCAACACACTCATCGCAAGATACGAGAATTTGAGAAATAATATGACCGTCTATGTGAGAGTCATCCCTTGCCATAGCTACCCCGATAATTATGCACAAGCGGGCTACTATAGTCCCGTTGATGGCTATCAACGCCCCAGCCTCGGGGAGCCATTCCAGCATCAGCCACAACACCCTGCGCAGGCCCTTGACTATGGGCAGCCGCCTTCCCGACCACAGTCGAGAGTTGCAAGGAAGAGAAGCAATTCTCCCGCTGGTCGAAGCCATCGCAGTGTCTCTGCCCAAAAGGTTCCATCTCGTTCTGGAATTAAGAGCCGTGGGTCCAGCACCCACGGCAGCTTTCAGGACGACACTGTGGGGCCTTACAGCGACAATGATGACGACCATGGATCAATGACAGGATCGAAGAAGGCTAGAAGTGAGCAGTTTGCTAGCTCTGAAATCAGTATGGATAATATACTGCAGGATGGTAGAAGGAAACGACCCAAGTTTGAGAGCTCGGTAAGTAAGATTCATTAAGGCCATCCCTTCAATATGGGAGGACGTTTCTTGACGAGACAGTCAATTAACCATATCTTCACTTTTGTTTAGGAACTGCCTCTGTTCGTACCGCCTCAAGTTCCCCTCACTACATCAACATCGTCGATATCTCCTCAACGACGTTCCACCGTGCAAGAAGGGCCCTCCCCCTTTGCAAGACCTGCCCAGCGTCCTTCCGTAGGACAACAACCTGTTCCATCCCCCCAAGGGTATGGGCGTCATGATGCAATGTACGGATTAAATACACCTTTGAATAACATGTATGGTACATCGGCTCACCATGGCCATCGACTACGCGATCGGACAAACGCACAATCTATTGGCGGTTTCGGAAACTCTGCCCGTCGTTCCAACAGCAATGGCATACTGCCGACCCCAGACCCGACAATTGCGAGCTGCATCTCCGACGAAGATGTTGCAATGCAGCTAATTCGACTTGGTGACGTTTCGAATTTCTCTCACGGGCGCACCTCTGCCTCGACCCTTGATGACGCATTTAGTGGCGCTGCTGATGCTTCCTCGTCGACTGGCGCCACTACGGATGGCTCAGAGGCCAGCGAGGATGACGATGATCTTCCACCGCGCTCACGACGAAAGTTGGAATCCAGCCCACTGCTCCCACCAGGTGTTCTCAAAAAGCATCACAAGAACCTGGATGAAATCCTTCCTAGCTGCGACACCAGCGACCCAAGTAGTGATGACTTTGATGCGAGATATCAACATGAGAAGGCTCAAGCACCTGTCAAGAATGAACACGATGACGATACTGCCTACGAGGATGCACCCAAAGCAAAGCGTCCGAAGGTCAAAACTTCGAACGCGGCGGCTCCCAAAGCCTCAGTCGCTAGGACAGGTGCATCGGCCAAAACCGGTAAGGCCAACAAAAACCGCCCTGCTGCTACTTCCCGTAAAAGCAAGGCCCCTGCGAACAACAACAACAACCCGGGGTTTGCAGTTCCATCAGCCCTCCCTCCTATGACTACCCCTGCTACGTCACGCAAAGTATCATCATCCGCAGTGAACTTCCAGCATCAACTTGGTGCGGATGAGGAAGACCTGTCCACCAAGCCTCGCTGCCAGCGCTGCCGCAAAAGCAAGAAGGGTTGCGATCGCCAACGACCATGCCAGCGGTGCAAAGATGCAGGCATTGGGATTGAAGGTTGTATTAGCGAGGATGAGGGCAATGGCCGCAAGGGCAGATATGGCCGCCACATGGGAGTCCCAGTAAAAAAGAATGATGCTCCCCCCACCAGTGCTGGCGTCGTTTCCGCCCTCGGAAACAATGTGCCCTATCATCATGGAGCTGACGAGCGCTATCATCATATGGCCGCACCGTCCCTGGCACTTGCCTCGGCCCCCTCTAGCGTCGCTGATAAAAACAAGAAGAGAAAGCGATAGTGGTCACACAAATCACATCCTTCTAACGAACGGTGACTATATATGAGATATTGCGTGGTGTTCAGTGGAGTGGCACTCTCACTGATGCTGAGAGCCACAGTTCCCTCCCAGTGCTCTCTCTCCGATGCGATTGTTTAGTCGAGTGAATTCTGTCTTTGCTTTCCCATCCAAGTTCGCTATGAGACATAACTCAACGTCGCCTTACTGGCTTACAAATTCCTTTTGGAAGACAGTGTGTTTGTTTCATGCGTTGGTTTTATTTTTGTCTCCTGACGCCATTGTATTCGCTCTTCCTACTCCCACGTGTCACGACAAACTCTCCGTAGAGAAGCTGAAGGTTAACGGCCTTTGAATTTTCTCACAAATTCCCTCCGTCTTTTCGTCGCTTCGTTACCATCAATGCTATCATCGCCTTTGTCACTCGTTTCTACATGCTTTGCTTCTGCGCCTTTGAAAAGCCTCACCCAAGCTTCCTATCCGGATAGCCCGATCCACCTAGATTAAAAGCCCCAACGCTATAACTATCCTTTACCTACCCAACTTACTTTCCTTCATTACCTTTTCGTCTTCCCAGCGAAATTATATCTAGTTTACTTTTCTTATCTTAGCGAGCGACTAGTTTCCTTTGGCTGAATACGGGGAGGGATTTGACACTTTGTTGTTGCGATGTGTTTGTCGTACTTATATTGTCTTTCCAACGGCTATATTGTTGTATTTGCTCCAGTTTTAATATGTTCGAGTTTATGTTTTGCTTTGTTTCCGATTGCCGATTGCTTTAGTATTTGATTTTTTCCCCTCTCTTTATTTACACACTCTTTCATTGCATTAATGTACGAAAGCCGTGTGGTGGAACATTCATTGCAGGGCAGGTTAACGGCAGCATGTTCGCCGCTCCATGGGCCGACACTGCCCTTGACCTGTGGGATATATTGACTGAGTGTCTAAAGAAGAGCACAACACTGCGGGAAACGGTGGAGATGCGCCAGATTGCAACGGACAAATGATTTTTTGAAAGGGGGGACAGATATTTTCTCATAAAACGAGAAAAAAGAGGGAGAAGAAGGAACCCAAATTGTTTCCCTTCAAACATCTATCGGAGAATCGTATCATTCTGTTCCATTTCTTCTGTTTCTTGCGCAGCTATTCTTCTGCGGTACTCCCTGGGCTCATTATATACATACTTTTCTCTCCCCTCACCCTATCACTACCGCTTGCCCACCCTGCTTGTTATCATTCCTATATTACCACTATTGTTTGATATTAAAATCAATTGCACCAAGTACATGTTATTTATTTATTTATTTTCCTGCACTTTTTCTTTATCAACTCTAGCCTTTTATTATAATATCGCCCCCCTGCTATGTATGTACTTGCCTCCAAAAAAAAAAAAAAAAAAAAAAAAAAATCACACTTTCTAGCTATCCAACCAAATATGAATTAGTATTGATTTAAGCATAAAATCTGTCGCTTGGGCCTGCGATGGGAGGTTCCATTCCGATTCCTTCTTTGCCAAGGCAGGGCGTCTAGGCGCTTGCAAGCCCGGTTGTCGCATCCATCCATTTCCGGTAAAGCGCGGATGTCGCATGGGAAAACACACTAATCCAATAATAATCTAGCGTAAAACACTTGCATGCCCTTCCGGAATAATAAATTTCCGAGATATTTTTTGAGCTCTGAGAAGATGAACGAAGAGAAAATGACAAAGTGCGGTAGGAATCATCCACTCATTTCGTTGTATTGAGAGATCGCCCTAATGCTTTTTCAGAGTTGTCCATTAGCTTAAGAACGCAATGGATATGTTTTCCTAGTGGTTGCGTTGAAAACTTTGCAAATTTTATGCCAAAGCCAGCGTGCTCTCTCCCCCCTTCGATAAGGGCACGGCCAGGCAATACGGCGAAATTTTCAGTTACTCCAAGAAAGTAACCTACCAAATCAAATTGGAAAGGTGACACAAACTCACCCAACCAACCATGCCACCAAAATCCACAAACAACCCTCGGCGCCCTGCCGCCGCCGCCTCCTCCGCCTCGCACCGCGCCGCCATTCCCGTCGACAGCGCTTCACATACACCTACACCCGCAGCTACAAACACAGACCCAACCAACCCCCCCATAGACCCTAACCTCACCGCACCTCGCTCCCGAACCGCCCCATCCACTTCTACCTCCGCCATAACCACCAGCGGCTCCCCACCCCGCCCCGGCGTCCAGCGACTCCAATCCCTCAAAAAACGCACCCCGAGTGGCTCCTTAATCCCGCTAAACCTAGATGGCACGACGCCCAAACCGACCCTGCGCTACCAGCCGCGCGCGGTAGTGCGGAAGAGTAAAGCGGAACGCGAGGCGTTGGAGCGTCTGGAGGCGGAGAGACAGCAGGAGAGGCTAAAGGAGGCGGCTGCGTTGAGGAGGGGGGAGGTTGCGGGGAGGGGTGGGGATCGAGGAACTAGAGGGAGGGGAAGAGGGAGGGGGAAGGGGATGTTTGGGGGAGGTGAAGTTTCGGGGCCATTGGGGTCTGGAATGTCGATGCGGAGTCGTGGGGGTGGGTTTGGGGCGGCGGGGAAGGGGAAGGGGAAGTATGGATATGGACATGGGGGTAGATCGGGTGGGGGGAGGGTGCATGGGCTTGTCCGGGCGAAAAGTGAAGATGGGGCTGGCGGGGTAAGCAGCCGTGGTGGGAGTGGGGATGTTTCGTCGGATGAGGGGAGTGATGGGGGCCCGCGGTTTAGTATCGAGCAGATTAATATTATTAGTGATTATGAGGATGACGAGGAGGAGGAGGAGTTTGAGGAAGGGAAGGGGAAAGGGAAGATGCCGTCCAGGGCGTCTGGGGCCGATCGTGCTGGGAGGGGACTGAGGCCGGTTCGGGTTGAGAGACAGGAGCATCAGGAGAGATCGATCGGAATTAATACGGATGCTAGCTCGGAGAGGTCTGCAGAGTTGAGAAGGCAAGCAAAGGCAAAAGCGAAGGAAAAGCAGGGGGAGGATGAGAGTTTGTTCGTTCAGGACAGTGAGGAAGATATTGATGGTGGTAGTGAGAGTGAAGGTGACGAGGCGGTCGAGGTAACTACGGAGAAATTTGTCGGTGGTACATTGTATGGAGGAGTGAAAATCAAGGAGGAGCCTACGGATGACGGAGATGTGCTTATGACTGAATCTATATCCCAGGCCATGGACAGCAGCCCTGCGACGGCTGACACTGGGCCTGCAACACCAGCTGTCCCGAAGCCAAAAACAAAAAACAAAAGAGTTATTATCCAGGATCCGCGGAGTAAACTGCAGACAGAGGAAGAACGGCAGGAAAATGACCGCCACGAGGAGGATATAGAACATATCAAACAGGCCTTGGGGACAATAACCACCGACGATAAGCCGGCGGAAAGGTCACAAGGGGCAGAGCAGGAAGATGAGACACAGGCAGTTGAAGCACCAAGGGATGAACGTTCGGGGCGACTCTTCCTCATTCAGTTTCCGCCCATGACGCCCAACCTCGTCCCGCCGCCGCTTGCTGTAGATGAGACGGACCAAGACGTGGTTGAAACCGGTGCACAGGCAACAACACAACATCTTTCCAATCCCGCCATCAAGAGAGAACCTACCGACGAGCTTACCGTCCCAAAGCCCACCGTGAGTAGCGATGGTAACGCTGCTTCCTCCCCCTTAATCACGGCCACCCACTCCACCCTGCCCCCAGGTCGAGTAGGCAAGTTGAACATCCACCAGTCCGGGCGGGCAACGATAGACTGGGGCGGGATCAGCTTTGAATTAACCAAAGGGAGCGATGTGGAGTTTTTGCAAGATGCTATTGTGGCATCTGAGGAGAAGCCCCAGACCACAGAAGCCGGGGAGGCACAATCAAAGGTTGAGTCGGAGGAAAAACGAGTATGGGCGATGTCGCAGGTTAGTGGGAAGTTTGTGGTGACGCCTGACTGGGAGGCGCTACTTGGGGTATGAGTGACAACATACAGTACAATTGGAGTGAGGGAAGCTCTTGTTGTACATTGCATCTGGATTTGGCGTTTCTCTTCGGCTTAATGTGTGGTTTCGAGTGAGGATTTAAGTCCCCTCCCTAGAGCATATCAAGAAACCAAAGTCTACATTCATCAACGCTTTCATATACATTTTAACTCATATGACTAAATCTGAATTAGCTATCTCTATCGTTGCTATCTTATATATATCCGTCTCCCTTATATATCCATTACTCTTTGTTATAAGAGAAATCAATGATGTTGTATTTCTTAAGATGTCGCCTGATGAAGGGTGTGTGATGCATGCCCTCCAATTAAGATTTATGCACGAGCGAGTAGAACCTTGGTTTGATGGTTTCTAGTGGTTTCCTATTTTAACTTAAAACCAATTACAGAGTAAGCCGAGGGAGCAGCGATGATTCTTCCCGTTCATTGCAGGCACAGTGATAAAACCGCTCATTTTATTACTTGTCGATAATATAATATAAGAACCGGTTAAGCCTTTCTCTGCGAAAACACCAATTTATGATCGAGGATGAGACTTAGGTGGACTGAAACATCCAAAAATAGATGTTTACATATTTTTGCAACCACTAGTAGTTGCAGTTGGCCAGGGTCTGATATAAATAAACTTCTTTTGCTTTACATGCTGAGAATGTAATTTGCTATCGATGTGCTCTGTGTATATACGTCCAAGGAAGCACTGTCCTACACTTACAGGAGGGCCTCGAAGGTCGTCTGCTGACAGCCTGTCATTACCCCCCGGGGGGGGGGGGTGGGAAGTTAACCGAGTTGGTTAATATCGCGGTTTCAAGATCTGTCTAAATCCTGAGTGCTAATTATCCGACTTTGTTCTTAGACATTTATAAATTACCTACATGTGAGACCGTGGTGCCCACGTTTATGCAATGTTGCTGCAGCTAAAATCGCAGTTTTGGTTGCAGCTACAGATTAGTTGGACATGAGCTAAATATGTGGTGAAAGAATACGCACATAACATAATTTCCTTTGATTCCTACCACTGGAGAAAGAATTCATAGTTTGGGCTCCTTTGTTTAAACATCTGACATCTCCACTTGATATCTTTGATGGACTCACCAACGCCAATTATTGATTTTCATCAATTTCAAGTACAAACGGACTTTAAATTGGGCGTGTGACTCTAACAGGCATTTCGGGGCAGTCCGATATTGATAACATCCAATTTGGGATGCGCTGCTGTTGTACGGCTTCTGATACTCTTTGTCCAATACTTTCTGTAAATCCTTTCACCTGTTGCGACTTGTTTAAATTGTCTCAAAATTCCTCGCCCGAATTCAAACTGTGCCGTTTTCCCTTTTTCCTTCTCGAAGTCCTTTTTTCTATCTACCAAATCTCTTCTTGCAGTCACTGCTACGCAGTCAGGTATCAAAATGCATTTAGGAAGCCTTATATACCTGTTAGCCCCTGCACTATGTCTTATCAATTGCGTTCTAGGCCAAAGGGACCAGAGGAACGTTCCAAGGTACCGAGCTGCCGAACTATGCTTGAAACCAAACGCTCTCCAGAGCGGGTCTGCATTGGATGGAGAGAAAGAGGCTCTGAATAAGGATGAAGTCACCCCTTCTAGAACGTAGGTGAGAGCATACTTGATATTTAGTTAGATTCTCCTAACAGGGAATTAGCTCATCGAACAACTTCATCAACTACTGCAGCGGGAAGACATTAACAAACGGCAAGAAGAATAAGGAGGGATCTTGCAATGGGATCCGTGAGTAGTTATTAATTCCCACGACACAATACCTGTCATGGAAACTAGCACTAATACGACCACAGCCATGGGCGAGATTCCTTCAACAAAACACATGGTTTCTACACTGATCACATCTCCCTCGCCGGGCGATACTTTCAAGGTCAATCAGCCGATTGTCTTCAAAATCGCAGTTCGGAACATCGAAATGGGGTTCTACACAAATTCAAATGTGACATACCTCTCTGCTCCCCAGGCATTAAATAACGAAGGACTCGTACAAGGTCACACACATCTCACTGTTGAGTTTATGGGACCTACCGCCATCTCGATTAAAGCCCTTGACGCGAACAATCCGACTTGGTTCAAAAGCGTCAACAGTCCGAATAATAAAGGAAACAGTTTCACCGCTAGGCTTGATGCGGGTCTTGGGAAGGCCGGATTTTATCGCGTTTGCACTTTGACAGCAGCAGCCAACCATCAGCCTGTCATTATGCCGGTTCCCAAGCGCGGCGCGCAGGATGACTGCACCAAATTCAAGGTTAATCCTTAATAAGCGGGGACCGAGGGGGGAAGATATGTAAAATTAGATAGGCACCAACTCGCAGAAGATTTCTATACCCATCCTCAGCACTTCAGCTAGTTATCCGGCTTCCTTCCTTCGGCCTTTCTTCCCTCTGCAGCTTCGAGCTGTTCACTCATATGCCTCATGTCAAATCGCCTGCTGCTCTCAGCCTATCCTTCGCAATCTCCGCTAGCGACATGTTTCATATGCCATTATTTGACCGCGCAATACTGCCGAGCATTTGTCTAGGATCAATCCCATCTGGCCCATCACACTCGTATGTAGGACCATAAAATATTACTCTCGCCATCTTCGTTTCGTCGTCTGTAGCACCTAGGAAAAGAAAATCCAGGTGTACACTAGATTTTCTCATAAACTGCAAAAGCCCTGCAGCCCTAGGAGGCGGTGTGAGAGTTGTTGGTCTCGATCTTGTACACCCTAAAAGTTGTAAGGGAAACTGAACCGACCGCGCCAGTTCAACAGTCCTAACACTGTTGCAAGGTCTTTTTAGGTGGTTCTCCCATTGTGGGCTGCTAGTTGTGGGGTATTAATGGAACTGCCTGAAACCTCCTGGCGGAATTACATCCAGGCATCACAGTGAAATCTTCATATCTGCAATATCTTGAAATTAATAATGGAACGGATGTCGTTCGAGCAGGAAGAACCTAGGCTTGCTGACTCATTCCCGCGATCAGACGCACAAGTTCCTTATAGGGAAATATTTCACGACGATCGCTGCCCCAGACTGACATCAACCTCCTTTGTCTGAACACTTACCATCCAATCTTCAATCATCAGTGTTCATCTTCGCTCAAAAGAAAGGAACTCCAATCTGGTTTTAATACTACTCTTGATAATTCACCAGCTAACTGTCTGCACATCCTACGAGTAGTGCCCTGCGCATCACAATTACCCTAAGAAATAAGCGCGAACACCCCACCATATCATAGCCCCCAATCACGAATTTGCGTTGCAAGCGAATTTTCGTTATCTCATTCAAGAACCTAAGGGTTGGGGTTGAAGATTGAACTTGGAAGAACGAGAAATAAAGAAGAGAAACAATTGGGTTGAGATACGGTACGGGAAAATTGTTTTAATCCCGTCGGGCAAGTGTTTTGATATTCCGCATTCATCAGTCTGTCCAAGGTTACTTGAATTATTTGAGTTTACGGCAATCTGAACTCCCCCTACATCTTTGGTTTCTTTGTTTGAACTTGAAACATTCCATTCCTCGTTATAAATACTAACCTCCAGTGTATATCTATCTTATTATCAGAAATTTTGCACATCACGCTATCGAGACGTTACCAACGGGACTCACCCTCCTCTGCCTACCTTTGTTGTATCACACGTATAAACATTCTCGAAGCCATTCGATATACATAATTATCTTGAGACGGCCTGCACGGCAATCATAAAGGGTACAACATCACACAAATATAGAAGGAGGAAACATAGATAGATCAAAATGAACGGCTTTCCAGGAACAGTCCATTCTCTCAGGCCTGGTGACATCCACCCCATTCCTTACACTCCAGTACCATCCATCGGGGCAGAACTAGGTATTATGTTTGGCTTCATCCTCCTGTCGATAGTAACTATGCTTCTCTACTGGTACTTCTGGCAAGGTATGTCGCACACAAAAAAATCGCCTCAAGCCCACTCATCCCTCTCTAGCTCAATCAAATAAATTTAAATATGTAAAAACAAAATAAACATTCACATACCATTTGAGACCCATCATGTTATGAAAAATATAAACTAACCAACAAAATCCCACAGCCGCCCAAAAGCGCAACGCTGCCATTGAAGCCGCTCGTCGCGAAGCCCTCACCGCGCAAGACCGACTACGGCAATCTGAGAAACACCGGGAGCAGGGTACAGACTATAATAGTGAGCATGACGATTTGGCAGCTTCGGGAGCTATTGATGGGATACCGAGTCGGTCGACTCGGAACGGCACCAGTGCGAATGGCTTTGGCTTTGGCAATACGATGCAAGACTTGATAGTGTAACGGAAACGTTGGTTCGTGTTGGGTGTCGTCTTTTTGCTTCTCTCTTTCGATGGTTGGGTTGGGTTATGAGATTATGATTGAGAACGACGGATATGGATGGGGGTGCTTGTGGTTGTATATCTTATTGGGAATGGCGCTGGAATGGATATTTTTTTTGTACGGCTTCCCCCCCCCCTCCGGTTACGTTCTTACCTTTACTATATCTTTGATGATATCACTCCTATATACTCTTGCTGTCAAAATTAACACCGAGACCTTGCGACTGTTTATTGGGGATGAGGCGCGGTTTTGTGGTGGTATGTTTGCTTCGTAGATTTGATGGCCATTGGGTTGGATGACTGCCATATTTTTCTCCATCGGAAAGTTAGTTCTAATATGTATTCACATGTATTTACACGAGAGCTGACGTCAAGGTACAATAATATACTGATTCATATCTGTAAAACGTCCGTTTAGGATTTGTTGTATATATCTAACGCATCTAAAACCTGCATCAACAAACCGCAAGACCAAAACCAACCGTCCACTTTAGTGACCCAACAACGACAACCAAAAGGCCCAGGGCAACAGCAAGTGTAACCAAGCCATAAACATACGCATGCTCATGCTCAAGACTATCCAGCTCAGCCACCCACGTGCTTACCGTCGTCGTACACCCGCAGAACCCATCCATAATGCCCTTCAATACCTGGCAGCCGCTGAGACGCGACACACTAACCGCGCCCGCTGCAGCAGCCTCAGGGGCGGAGGAAAACGAAGAAGCAGACACCGCAAGCACATGTGTCGATCTCTGCAGGTCATAACACATAGCCAGTACCAGGGTCCCGAAGATATTCGCCGTGAACGTTCCCAAGGGAAACCTCGGGATGCGGGCATTGAGCAGCAACGACACATAGAAGCGCAGCAGACAGCCCAGCGGCGCGAAAACGACGGTAAACACGGCGCTGCCGCGCCAATGCTCGTGGACTCCCAGATCGCGGTCCGGGGGCCAGATGGCGAGGAATACGGCGCCCAGCCAGCAGCCGATGGCCAGAAAGGAGATAATGGGGTCGAGACATCTTCGTGAGAAAACGTAGGGGATTACGGGGGTGTACTCGTCCATGAAAATGGCGAGGTGGGAGCCGAGGATTAAGGCGGCGATGCTCAGGGAGAGGGTATAGATTATTATGGCAAGCACGGCCATGAAGCTGTATCCGCCATTGCGGGACAGGGGGGATGATGGGTGGCCTGGAGTTGGGAGGTCGTTTGCGAGGGCGAGGAAGACGTCGAGCATGAAGGTGGAGAAGGAGGTGAAGGAGCCGCAGAAGCCTGTTGTGAGGCCGATGTAGAGGGGAATGGTCTTTTTGATAGATTTGTGGGTCTGGAGGGAATAGGCGGGTTCCAGTGGCGGGGTTATCGGTTCCTCCTTTTGTTCGTTTAGGTCGCTTTGTTCTGGAGCTTGGGGCTGTTGTTCTGGAGGTGGATGTTGTGGTGTGTGGAGGGTATGGAAACGCGAATACCGCCGGCGGAGTAGTTTCATAGGATGCGGTAAGTGAGAATGAGGAGATGGATGGGAAATCGGGCCATTTGACGCGCTAGATTTGTGTCTCGAATGCTTTCGCTTCCACTGTCCCCATTCTTCACGAAACAGCTTTCGGTCTTCAGCTAGGAATCCCATAAAGAGGCATCCTCCAACATTTGCCCAGGTAACTCCGGTGGTCAACGGCGCTCCAGGATAAGTAGTCAACCACTCCAGCCCAATCCGAGCCAATGCTCCTAGCATTGAGAAAAGCACAAGATAGGAGACGGTATAAAGGCGGGTAGCAAACGCCGACAATTTGGCTTCGATTCCAGCAACTCGATCAACGCGAGGGGGCGGCGCAGTAACCCGAGACTCGGCGCTCTCGAGAGCTGCCCAGTCGCCCCGCCTGGATGACACGCGTTCAACGGGGGGAGGTACGGCAAGCTCAGTAAGGGATCCATCCCTCTCTATATCTCTCCGGAAAGTCTCCTCACGCGTGCGTTCTCTTTGCAGCTCCTCATCCGCGTCCTCGCGGGTATCCGGGATAGCGCGCTCAGTGAGATCTGCAATTCGGCCCTCTTCCGATTTGCGTTCTTCTTCCCTCCATCCTGACTGTTCTTCTTCAAGACTTGGACCACGCCTCAATTCCTGGTCTTCTTGGGCCTCTGGTTGAGGTTCTTGTGTGCGGGCCGAACTGTCAAAGTCAACTGTGGAATTTTCGCCATCCATGCTTGAAGTATATCATATGTATATCAAAATTGACAAATTATTTCTCACTTCAGAACTTTCTATGTATACGCATTAGCGCGATCAATAAAAGTGTAGTTGGATGGAAGTATAGAAATGACTCGGCGAACCCCGACTTGATTAGCAAACCGAACTTCTGACAATCACGAGGAATATTACCTTATTGTCTAAAACCTGAGCGCACGCCAACTGCTACGCCATTTCGCACGGCGTAGGCTTCTCTCTGTAAAACTTTTCATGGAGAACTGCATTAATGTCAGGTATAGATGACATCATGACATCTGCCCAGGTTGGAGGTTTGATTTATCTCAGCGGGCTCAGACCTCTGGCTCGGTTTGAACAGGTTGCAGACTAATCCGGCATGACACTAACCTACTTTTGATACAAGTCATGTGCTCAGAGCAATCCTCGCCAGAGGGTCTGAGAAGAAACAGTTCCATCTTCAATGAAGATTCCCAAGATTTACAAGGATTTTTCAGATTCTTCAACTTTGACTTTCTATTACTATATATTCACATATCTTTGAGATTTGAAAATCATCTTAGCTTATAGCTAAAGAGAAGAAGAATATAAATATTTCTTTAATATTTCAAAAAAATCTATATTTAAGATAGATGTATACTCTTGAAAATGATCATATTTTTTGATCTCAGAATTTCTAAGAGCTTTTTTTTATATGAGAAATTGGATTAAAATTCCTGTGTTTAAAAACACACTAGTCAACTTTGAGATGATACTTCTATTCTAAGAACTTGAGATATGAATATAAAAATCAGATACATTACAAGAACATTGTTATTCTAAGATTTCAAGATGATACAGAAATGATGAATCTATGAAGTTAAGTTGAAATTCTCTTTCATACTCAGGATACTGAGTAAATCATTCCTGTGTTACTAATAATCAGAAACTGTTTAGATATTATCACTCACATGACCTGATTTTACTATTTGAGTTAGCTTGTTACTTATTTGAGGTTAGCTCATGACATAATCATCAATCCAGTGTTAAAATAGCAATATCTGGAGAAGCGTCTGAGCTTGCTGAGATAAGGTTTGATATTGAAAAAATTAACCTAGTATACCACGTGACTGAGCTAACGGTAATATTCGGTACACGAAAGCGGAGCTGATACCCGCTTTTCAAGGATAAATGTAGCTTGTGTGGGCAAATGACGGCTCTGTCTCCGGCCTGATACCGTACTTTACAGAGCTCTGCGCGATAAGATAAGCATCTGATGTAACTATGTATTGTATGTATCTAACTACATCATTCCAAGCATCACATTGCCGCGTCGGAACCCCTCACTTCTCGCTCTCCTTATATTTTCTGCAAGAGTCAATGAATCGTCGCTCAAGCTCATAAGTACCATTTGTTGCCATATTTCCCAAGGGCTGCGGAAAATAAAAAAATTAAAAAAAATAAATTTAAATCATGGCGTCCCCGCTCCCCAGTAACATACGTGTTTCCCAGCACCCTTGTCTGCGTGCGAAGCTCTCTCAGCTGCGCTCGATCAACACGGGCTCTAAGGACACGAACAGGTTAATAAATGATATTGCTATGATACTTGGTTGTGAGGCCTTGGGTACCAGCTTGCAAGTCGTTTCGAGTGGTACGGTGAGCATTTACTCCCTCCCGAGACTACCTTATCTAAATGAGAGCGGTGAGATGGAACAAGGAGAGCAGGAGCAAAGCAAAGGAAATAGATGAGATGGGAGAACAATGTATCTTATTCCCTTTCTCCCAATACTGATGTCATAAATGTTCTAGGGGAAAACGCCTCTTGGATATGAATATCCAGTAGAAACCATCACCCCGGAGAAGATCGCGCTTGTCCCAATTCTCAGATCAGGCCTGGGGATGGTTCAGGGTGTGTCAAATCCCCTTTCCTTAATCGCGTCCTCTTCCTTTTAAAATCCTTCAGCCCAGTCATATGTCCCCAAAGATCCACCAATCTAACAATTCTCCACACACCTAGCAATCCAAGATCTCCTCCCCTCACCCGTCGCTGTACACCATCTGGGACTCTTCCGCGAGCGAACAACCCTCCACCCCGTCGAATACTACAATAACCTCCCCTTCCAGCCCTCTCCTGAAGACGCGCAAAAGAATACCTCCGCTGCTACTCTTGCCATCATTGTTGATCCGATAATCGCGACAGGAGGCACCTGTGCGGCTGCGATTCAGACTTTGAAGGAATGGGGGGTCGCGAAGGTATTGGTTCTTAGTGTGTTGGCGAGTGCAGACGGAGCAAAGCGGGCAGCGGAGGAATGGCCGGAAGGGGTGGATATTTTTTTGGGCGCTGTTGATCCAGGGTTGGACGCGAAGGGGATGATTAAGCCTGGTGTAGGTGATGTTGGAGATCGCCTGTTTTTGGCGTTGGGAAAGTGAGAGGCTTTTTCTTTTTCCCTTCCTCTTTTTTCCCGTTTCTGGTATGGTCTACTTGTTGTTTTCTTATTGATTCGGGAACGGACGAATGAAGGAGGGGTAGATACGGACTACATGTGAGTTGCGTACCCCGGGTTTGCTGGGATGATTCATGACGACGCATGCAATACCCATCATGTTTTGTTTGTGCTTGGTTTTAAATTGTATGGCGGAGTTCTTCTGGTGCTATTAACGATATGCATAGGAGCTACCACCATTGCGCCCCTATCAATTCCGGGATGAGCCCAATTGCGGCTTCTACCCTATCTTAAATAATAATTATCACGAATCTTTTTTTTCGATACACACATAATTTCCTTTTTCACAATCTCTTGCACCCCGGATTCCTGGCAGCACGCATCATACATCTCAGATATAGCTATTCCCGGCGCGAGCGTATGGTCGGTGAAACTGGCTGTGAACGCTTTCGACCCAGCCGTTTTCGATACCTGATGTCAAAGGTTGGGAAGGACAGTGATCTCACCCTCAGGACCAACGAAAGTGTTCATCAACTTATGCTATGCTCCCCAGCACGCACTACCCCGCCGCTGTGTTCTGCTTCATTGCTTCATCGGAGGGACGTATGCGGTGGGCTCTAGACGAAGTTGAGCAGACGAATGCGAACGGATGTGATGAGGCAGATATCGAAGCGCTGTGGTGCTAAAATACCAAGTGGCAAGAATTGCACAATGGCCAAACAACGTAGGTAGAGCGTGCAGCTTCTTTTCTTCATGGGGGGATGTTAGAGTTCAATATTACAGTACAACATCTCAGGGCGGAAGCGTTGAATGGCTATTCAGCGCGCTCACCCTCTCCCATCCACCCAGACCCATCTAGACAATCTTGAAGGAAAATGTGACACAGCGGCTATTTCTCTCGCAGGGTATATTTCACCAGTGAGTTTTGCGACAAGTACGCTTAAATATCAGCTACTCCACATCGTTCACCTAATCCCCAACGCCCGACAACCGATAGAAGATGCTTTGCCCATGTTGAGTTGGAAACACCCTTCCCTTCCACAGAGGAGGCGGAGATGGCTGGAAACCATGCCTTACAAGAGGATATATCATCACCCAAGCGGGGTAACAACCTCGTGGATCGCCTCCAACCTTGAGCTGATTGCACAGGTCCAGACTTCTAAAATCAGCGACAGGGACTCGGTTCCTGTCAACATGCCAGACGCCCATTCTCAACATCACCTCCTTGAAGACGGCGAGAGCGCAGATGTGCAGCGGCAAATTATAGCTCCTCCTCTGTATAAATAGTTGAATAGCGAGTTTGAGATGCCCAATAATAGTTCCTGGCATTTTATCCACCTCACCTGCCCACCTTCCTAGATCACAGGCTCAGACCTTCAGCAGGGGAATACATGCATGTTACAGTAGTACATACATACACTTCCTTGCACGACCTAATTTCACGGGATAGAACCGCACTAACGAGATCAGAGCTCTAGGCCTTCTTCCCCATCCCATCCGCAACATTACGGAGTAAGCCGCCAAACGATCCCACCACCACCACCCAAAAGCAGCTCCTCGCCCAAACAAATCACAGACGAAGACGAAGAAACCGTCAAGGCATGGTAACTTGGTAACTACGCCGGATGTCCACCGCAGCGACGCATATGCCGGCGGGCGGTGGATCGACCGGGGAAATCAGACGCTACTGCGCCCTAGACACATCTATCCCCAGCTAGCCCAAGCGTGGCTAGGACCTGGTTCCCAACAGTAAAAAGAAGGCCGTTCGGCCGGATAGGATACGAGCGGAGATCCGCTAATGATAATATCCGATGTTATACGTGCAGGGTTCAGGGTTCAGGGACAGTAGGTAGCATTTAAGAAATGATGTACTGGGGTAGGTTCCTGGGCGAGGTAGACTGGGGTGTGTTTGTAGGGTAGGAGGAGGATTGCGATGGGATGGGGGGGGATGAGGGGGAGGGGAAGGGATGGGATTACATATTCATTATTAACATCAGATGAGATTAAATATTAAAAAAATATTAAAAAAATAAGATAAAGAATAAAAAAAAATTAAAAAAAAGACGAAGTCAGAAAACCGCCCATATCCATCCACTCCGAATCAATGAAACCCACTTCCATTCCACCTGTCTGCCTGTCATCCCTCATCTCTACTCTCGTATATGTGTGTGCTCGTGTGTGTGTATGAACACAGGCTGCCCCTACAGCCTCGTTTCGTTAATATCGTTTCCCAGCCGCTTTTTCGTGTCGAGATTTCCATCCCACCTTTGCCCATCCATATCCGTTAGGGCATGGTTGGTATATAACATTTAGATGTATTGATAGTATGTATGTAGGTAGGGCTGACAGAGCAAGGCCGTCAAGAGAAACATGGCGAACTGTCATCCGTCGTCATCTTATCATCCCCCCACCCCATGCAGGTAAGAAAGTAGTTCGTGATTCTAGAAGGAAAGTAGTAACTTAACTGCCTAGCCAAAAGGAACAACGCACCCTGCACTGGAAAAGAGCTGGGTTTCTTTGTCTCTGTCAACCTTTTTAATATTCGGGGTTTTCTCCCAAAAATCATTTAATACCCCCCCCCCCCCCCCCCACTGCACCCTATGAAGTGCAATCAAGGAATGAAATAAACAAGAAACGGAAACAGGAACACATGAAGGGATGTATGTGTAGAGAGATATCATTTCATGTCATATCATATCATAGCATAGCACAGCATGTAAACTGGGCTTGTATAGAGCATAGCAACAAGAAGAAAGAGAGGAAACGGAGCATTGCACAAACCAAGACATGAGATAAATATATGAGAAATAGAAACGATATAAAGAAAAGCCGTTCCACCCTTAAACAAACACGAGCAAGAGTTATAACAGTTTACAAACATGCATGACAGACAACCAGGCAGACAACCAGACAGACAGACAAAGACCTCTCTATCAATTCCAGGAACAAAAATATATATGCTCAAAAAACAAATCGAAAAAACAGCTTCCATTAAGAGATAAGATACCCCTCCGTAGTGCATAATGCCGACCAGCGGGTAAAAAGGCCCCGAGCAAAAAGGAGAAGGAAACTGCACGGAATGGAATATGATATTATTATCCATTAACAAGATGCGAAAGGGAAAAATGGCAGAAGTGGGGGATTCGAAGATGACTGTATGGATCCCCCGTGCGAGATGAACTGCGGAACGACGCCATAATAACGTTGACAGCAGAAGGTAGCTGTCGTCCCTCAACACCTGCATATGCATGTGGTATGCAGAATGTACAACGGGCGGCGGGGATAGTCCTGACCCATCCGTCGCTGAGTTAACTTCACGCCCTCAACTCATCCCATCCCGTCCCGTCCCGTGGGGCTGTCACGGAACACGGACATACAGTTTCATGATCCGAGCAAAATCATAGCTCGTGATGGTCCTCTTTTCATCCGATTCCGCCGCCTCTCATACGCCATCGATCGAGACGAGACAGGACACCATCTCCCGAAGAATCACACTAACTGGTAGGAGCCAGTGGTCACAGACTCCTATCCATTTTCTCGCACTGATTAATTTCAATCGAAGTGATAATTGTTTTGTGCGTTGCTCTTCTGCTATCAATATTGACAAACAGCACCGGATGGTGTTTGATGCCCAAGATCTCTTGGTATGGCCCTCCTCAGCCTCAATGAATACTCAGTATAGTATATAAGTCACTTGAAGGGCCGCCGACGAGCCTGGGTGAACTGGTTTGCGGAAACTCGTTCGAAACAGACGGATACATAGAGCGGAATCAGAAAGACGGACCGCCATCATCAGGCACATCTATTTCCCCCAAGAGCGGGCGAGAGATGAAATATGCCCGCGAGGGAGGAATGGATGGGTGGATCCCATTTCGAGTTCCCTAGCACGAAGCCAACGTGACGAAAGGGGTGGCTGATCCTCTCGCTCATCCAGTGTAAAGAGTATGTTGGATGAAGTTGACCTGAATGGGAAGCGCCACCAGAGCTTTAGCGTTAGACGGCGGAAGCAAAATGACAGCTACTACGACTCGATGCGTGGACGTCTGGAGTAACTGTGAGTGGCGGCACGGGCTGCCAAGTAGAGGGCTGAAAACGGGCGATGCAACTAGATTTCTTTCGGCCCGCCCCGCCTACCATCCATCACCATCAACATCGGGTCTAGAGGTAGTCGTAGTCAAGAGAAAGCGAGTAGGCCAAGCAAGGGCTGGGGAGTTGATGGTGCCATGGGAGCGGGGGTGGCGGCGGGGCGCCGCGCCCTAGGGCCCCTGCGCTTGGAAGCGTTTAGGTAGATGGAGGCTACAAGAAGCCCGATTCCGAAAGCAATCTACGCGCGAAAAAAGCAAAAGAAACGAAGAGGGTTATGAGTCAGCAGGAATTCGGTCATTTTGCAAATAGGAGAGAATGAATGTCCAAAGCAAAGGAAGAGGGGAGAAGGGGAAAAAAAAGGGAAAGCCAAGGAAACGGCAACGAAGTAAATGGAACCAAAAAATGTCAGAGTAAGAAGGTAGGTTAGGTATGAATTGCAAGAGATAATTATTCCAGGCTTGGCGCCTTGGTTTCTTTCAAGCACAAACACTGGACATCGCGCATAACACAAAATATATAAAGGGAGGGATAAATCTCCCCTCCATTTCGTACTTGGAGCCAATCCACTTTATCCAATTTGCGCGAAATAGAATGGGTGCGTTCTAGACTTTGTCACTCTCATTCGCTCATTTAAAGTCATTATATGGTTGAGAGGGGACGGAGGGGACGGAGGGGACGGAGGGGAGGGAGGGGAGGGCGGCTGGATGAGAGCGGGGGGATTGGATTGTGTGCTGCTGCTGCTTTACAAGGTTTCCACGCTGCCTAACCCGGGTTTTTGGGGATACTCGCTTGTTATTGGCTGGGGTTGCTGCACTAGCGCACGTGCCAGCCAGCCCCCCAAAAAACAATATCTCCGCCCACCCAAGATGGCGGGCTAAGGCTGAACCTAAAAGAAGGAAAACTAAGGGCAAAGATGGGAAATGACCCAATGTGACCATGACAGGGGTTTCGGGACAGACAGGGGGAACAAGGATTCGGGGGAGGAGATAGATCGGATCGTGAAATAGTAAGAATCAAGGGTCCAGCGGGGAAAAAATGAAAATGAAAATGAAAAATGAAAATGAAAAAAAGAAAAAAGAAAAAAAGAAAAACATATCATCCATATTCACGTAGAAATCATAAGTGCAAAAACAGAAGCGTCATTCATTCGTCCATACCTCGCTATTTTTTCATCTTCGCGTTCTCTCGGCTCGATCTCGAGACTGCGCTCGTACATTTCGTGCACGTCGCCGGCTGCCTGCATATTGCTAAGCACGTAATCCTGGAGCTCTGGGACGGGATGGAATGGGTATGGCGCATTTTGATACTGCTGGATGTCGCGGATAACTTCGGCTGTCTTGGCTCGCTTGTTGAAGTTGATCAGATGCGATTGCGTCAGAGATGGGATTCCGTCTTCGATAAACGTAAGATCCGTTAAGTAAACGCCTATATCACTTGGTGTTAACAGAAGAAGGGCCTTTCTAAAGCCAAGCCTGGCACACAAAAAAAACCAGATAACAAGCGACAGGATTGATGAAAGGGGTAAAAATTTACCAAAGAAGGGAATACAAGGAGGATTCGCAAGATGTAGAGCCTCGCGATATTCCCCGAAATTTTTCGTGCTGGCCATAAGCCTGCGCATATTCTCAAGTACTGCCGATATGCGGGCACTAACTTGGGCCCACGTGCGACTCAGTCGGTGGATAGGTGCTGTGCCAAGGGCTGATATTATTGACGTTAACGTGGAGTAGTTGTTCATTGAGCGACATCTCTAAAGGTTGGTTTTTTTAGTTAACGTAAGCTCACTCACATCACAGACAAATGAAAAAAGATTCTCAAGGTAGGGCGGGGTATATACCTCTGCAATCAAGACAAAGTGCTTAATGACAACTACTCTCCGCTTCACATCCTGCTGATGCAATATCATTTCCGCGACCCAATTAGTCAATTGATTCGAATGAAGAATCAGCGCTTTTACGTTGGCTGCCGGATCAGGCTCGTCGGGTGCAAGTTTCTTCTGCCATGTCTTGTTAAGGCATTCTGTAGGTTTGATCTTGGCATAGAGACGGGATTCAATGATGGTAAGCTGTCTCGCGAATTCCATCGGATCAATGTCCAGGAACTTCAGCTTCTTCATATTCTTGGGAAGGATCGATGGCGGTGCGTTGCCGCTGATGGTAGGGACAAGCCTCTTCGCTGAGGTGTCTTGGCCACGCATGCGCTGTTCAATCAAGCTCAAAAGCTGCTGGGAGCCAGGCGTCTTTGTCTTGCCAACCGAATCTTTGACGAATGCGTATACCCGCTGTAGGAGACGTATGTTTACGTCATCATTGGGTTCCATCCAGTAATTCTCGAACCAATTTTTCATGATATTAACCACTCGAATCCGAATTGGGACCTGCTTTTGTTCAGTCCAAGTCTGTAAATCTGCTTTATCCAGTCCGTAAGGTGGTTGTAGGGTGAAACGATGTACCAGCATCTCGAACAACTCAGATGCGGTTGTGAAGGAGCGGTATGTGAGTAGGAAAGTCGCGTTGAAGGAGGTGTCAAGTTTGTCGTGGCGCGTGAGATGTTCCACCAACCCGGCCAGAGTGCCACACTTGAGCGTCGGTACATCTCCCTTGTTGTCATAGAAAACCTCTGATTCGTGGTCAATGTTCAAAAACCATGGCACTGCTGGTTCAGTTGGGATGGTATCACCAAAGAAACGCTGCGCTTTATCTATATTTGCTCGACTCTTTACCGGCTGCCTATCAGCTGGAGGATAAGACGAGGGCACTCCGATAGACCCTGAGGGAACGTTTGACGGGCCGCCACCACTACCAATGTCTCGAGCTGGAGGCGCTTCTGAAGGAGCTTGCTCGAGGAGCAGGGTGAGAGAGAACCCGATCTGAGTCATGTAATTCTGTAGCTGGCGGGAAACCGCTCTAACACTGGCCAGTCGAGTTTCGAGAGTATCACCTCTCAATTCTGCCCATTCATCAGCCAAAGGCGCAGAAACAGCCTGGCAACTTAGGACTAAATCGGCAACACCGTCATATGCACGTTGCTTTTGGAGGCTGAAGTCGACGAGCTGTGGATTCTGGGAGCTCCGTTCGAGGGGAGCAAGATCAATAGACTCCACAAGCGATATCCACGGTTGGAAACATTCGACCACTCTGGACCCTGCAGCGCAAACTGCATCCGCGATCGCCAGGTGTATTCTTGGAGTTATGGTCTTCTCGGACAGAGATAGCTTCTCTTCCAATCTTCGGGCGCTTGCAGTAAGCATATCCTTCAGACTTTCAATTCGATCAACGATGTTTGAATCAAGAACCATAGCTGGCTCCAGTCCTGACTCTCGATTCGCGTGGTCGAAAAATGAAGTAGAGTTTCGAATTCCCACATTGTTATTCTGCCAATGGCCTCCCGAGGCGCTTCCCTGTACAAATCCAGGAACCAGACGATTAATATCGTCGCCTCGTTGTTGTTTTGCGACTTCAACGTAGCCATAGACACCGTGCAAGACGCCTTCGGCTTCCTGCAGGCATTTGGCATCCGAAATCAGGCCCTCGCCAATCGGCTGCAGCGATATGGGACGAAAGGACGAGTTTCGAGAATTTGGACATCATATCGCGGAAATGCGGATACAATGCTTTGTTTGTGGAGATTATGGAAGGATTTCCGGAGTGATTATCAGTTGTGTCAGAGCCTGCAGCAAGTAGCATCCTGAGATGGTCCGAAATATCCTCAGCACGTTTCACGTACTGTGCACGATGGCCCTCCATAATCGCACGCCTGTAGGCATCGATCGCTTGGCGCATGTTTCCAACGAGCTTATTCCAAGTAAGAGGTGCAGACAAGCGGTCATCGAGGAAATGACGAGGAATGGTGGATGAGATAGATTGAGCGCAGAGTCGGTCAAAGTGAGCAGCTTGGGCAGAAGAGATCATACCATTATTGGGAGCCAACTGGTTGCTGCTGGTATGGGGTGACTGTCGTGAGTGTTTGGACTCAGAGTATGGTTTCCCTATGGGCTCTGTATTTATTGAGTCTAGCGAGGTGGCAGGGGAAACACCGTCTGAAATAAACGACCGTCGGCGCCGTGACTCGGAGTCGTGTGACGAGCGTATTAACGATTCACCTTCAGCCTCCGATCCGGAACCATCATAATCATCCTCGTCACGATCAATCCCCCCAACCATCAGCTCTGGCGGGGGTCGGGTCTGTTCAGGAACGAATATATTCGTCCGATCGCGTGGGCCAGTGTCTGTAGCGGACATGGGTGACTCCAACGGGAGCTCTGCCGTGCTTCGACCAGTCAAAGTGTTGAAATAGAATAGCCGCCCGTCAGCAGTGGCCTGTGGAATCCAGAAGGCGGCTTCTTCATGTTCCGAGCCTCTTGCTCCCTCGATGGGGAGGATTGACGGCTCATCCTTGGGGTTCCCTTCTGAGTCCAAATCATCATCGTCGTCGTCGTAGTCGTCAGCGCCGGATTCAGCGCTGGTGTCAGCGCCTTCATGTTCATAATGGCCACCACCCAATCCTATCGAATCAGGGTCTGTTACAACTGCACAGTAGTTGCTCGGGAACCAGCCGCGCACATCGCCCATGACGCCATCCCACCATCCAGTATCCAGCTGGTTAAGTACCTGTATAATGTCACCTTGGCGGAAGCTGAGACTCGTGTGGTCATCCGCGGTATAGTTGTAGAGAGCACGAACGTATAGCGCAGGCTGAGATTCTCCTGGAGAGTTATATACTGTTTTTGTTTTGACTCTGTTAATAGAAGCAATAAATCTAGGGTTGATACAAGCGAAACGTGCAAAAAAACATCGAAAAGTAGACAGTACCTTCTTCAGCTCCCCTGTTATTATTCGTAACATATCCATCGTTTCCATGATGTCTTGCCATGTCTTCGTGATAGGAGTGGTCGTTGGTGGAGTGGTACTGAGAGTCGTCCTGGGAGGGCGTTTCGTCTTCAGTGTAGTGGAAAGCAGCAGCGAAAGTGCCAGGTTTCGCATGCAAAACGGACTTTGAGTTGGCCGTCAGCGGAACAGCAGATCGAGAAGAGTACATGGTTTGATTGATATCTTCCCTTGGGAAGTGGAGAAAAGAAAGGGGGAGTATCCGGGGGAAGGTTGAAGGTTGGAGAGAAGCGCAGAGAGTATTCTATCGCATCGTCGTGAACGGCTGTTTTAGTTGTTTTGGGGGTTGACTGGTTTCTTATCGGCTGATAAAGGTGTAAAAACGGGGAGTGTTTCAGGCTTGCTGGCTCTTCCCTTCAGATCCTCTCTTTTCCTTTCCTTCTCTTGTTCCTACGAATTCGTTTTCGCTGTCAACTTCGATTCTGTGTGGTGTGGGAAAAGGGAGCGTAGCAGTTCGAGGGCGAAAACGGGGGGGGTCGGACAGGACTTCGTGGACGGACGGAATGAAAAGATTGATAGTAGGTCACAGACACACTACACAACAAAAGGAGGCACCAAGTAGAGAATATGAAGATCTAATGGTCCTACCGGGGAGTGAACTGGGTAGAAAAGAGAGAAAGCAAGAAAGAGGGAGTAGCGAAAAGAGGACTCAAAACGCTAGAGAATGAGAAGGGGATTCGAAGACGAGGTTAGAGTTTGGGCTGGGAGAAATAGCAATAATGAAGTCAATGGTGTTTTATTTGACGGGACTGTACGACGGATGGGCTGCGAAAAGGAGTGAGGTGGGGTTGACAGAGGAGCAAGCGTGGGGAGGTCGGGATTGGGTCTGAACTTTCTAGAGAGGGGCCAAGGCGAGAGAGAGAGAGGGAGAGGGAGAGGGAGAGGGAGAGAGAGTCTGGTTAACGGGAGCAGAGAGGAAAGGAGTGGAGAGATAGAAGAGAGCGAGATGATCAAGAAGACGACAGAATCGAGGAAGATGTTGGTCGAAGGATGGTGAACAACAGTGCAATGCAATGGGACGTTGAGGATCAGAGAGAGAGAGGAGAGATGAAGCGAGGAAGAAGAGAAGGCAGAGATGGCTGGCCGGGCCAGTGTCAGAGGTCAGCGCCAGAGGTCAGAGGTTTCCTACGCAGCGTCGTGTGGTCAGCGCGGAATTTTGGTTAGCAAGCGCAGGGAGACAAGGGCAGGACAGAAGGGAGGGGAGGATTCTGGGGGTTAGTTAAGGGTGATGATGGGATGGGCTATGTTATGGGGGTGGCTTGGGGGGGAGGGGGGGGGAGTGGAAGAGGGGAGGGGAACACAGGAGAAGGAGATCTGCCTCACTTCATACAAAAGATAAATTAATTGTTCTATGACCATGATGAAACTGGCCTTGAACATGCTGATGAAAATGAAGGTCTTGAAAATAACTAACTATGTGTGGATTGGGTGTCAGCATCAGTAAGTTAGTAGTACACGACAAAGCCAGCTTGTTATTATTATTACGCAGCGTAGTTGCCAGTTGTTAGTTAATCTTGGAGGATGACAATACAGCTTTGATGCTGCTGAACCTTGGTTCTTGGGAGGCACACATGATTATTATTATTAATTAAGTTATTCTTCTTTTACTCTGCTCAACTCAGCTGGCATGCTTACGGAGTACGGAGTACATAGGTAGTTAGTTATGGGCAAAACCCCCTTATGAAAGCTGCTACCTAACTAACTAGTTACTAACTTAACTAACTACTTAAGTAACTTCTAAGTTCTAACCCAGTCTCTGAAGCCTCCAGCAAAACAGGTGGACCGCATCGCCCGTCTGGACCATTCTGTACCCTATCCCTAGCCTATTTGATTCCCATGTCACATGTCATCCCACATGCAAAGATGTGCGCAGTACGCAGGAGGTGCCTTGTTGCAAGAGCAATGCAATAGCATTGATCAATATAGAGATGGGATTCTTTTCAAAGAAAGAAAATTCAAACAATAAAAAATATAAAAAATATAAAAATATATATATATATATAAAAATAAAAAAAAAAATAAAAAAAAAAAAGAATATAAGATTCAAGCCTGGTGATACTCCCCAGCAGCAATAATTGAAATCAATAATACGGAGTTATATTAACCAATATCAAATTGAATATTTCAATAAGCCGGGTAACGATGGAGTACTGCTGTAGGCGACAAGGCTTCTCATTTAATTCCTCTATTCCTCTTCAATTAACATCTTGATATTCTAATATTATTATTATTATTAGCTGTGCTCAATGCTCAAACAGCTGACAGTGTTTACTCCTTTGCTTTGAATGCTTTTCGTCCGTTTCGTTCCTATCTCTCAGACTGTCAGTGACAAGGCCTATGGAGCAGTAAATTACCGTAATATCGTACCATACGCCCCAAGGGCGCCAATAATAATGAACTGCCGCGACACTTGTCTCCCTACGCGTCTTAGTGGACGTGCGTATCTATAACTAGGTATTTGATAATACGGCGTACACAGTCATTTGTTGCTGTTTGGTAGTTTGAATCAATCAATATCAATCAATATCAATCTGTCTATCATTATTCTCATCAGCTGGCATCAAATAACTCACTTCAACTTCCCATCACCTCAATCAACCTTGCCTCTTCACCCTCTGCTTGTTTCCCCTCCCCTCTCTCACCGTCCAGCCAATCACATTTCTAGAGATATATATATATATATATCTCTTCCCATAACTACGGAGTATCCCTTCAAGAACCCTTCTGCATAAGTTCTTACTCGCCCTTCAGCCTCGAAAAAGTTCCATCCATCCAATGAGAAACTACAGCAGGATTTCATCCATTTCGCCAATGATCGGCAGTTGATTTGCTGCAACCCCGTTGGGAAAGGAAACCCCCCAATCTCAGCCCGTCAGTTGAGAGAGAGCGGAGATAAAAGAGTGCGCGCTTTTGTTCCCCAGGCTCTGAAGGGGCTAAGTTTACCAACTACCTGAAGGGAACAGAAAGGAAAAAGGAAACGAAATGGAATGGAATGGAGGGGAAATGGAAGCAAGCAAGGGAAAAATTAAAGTTTGTGTTGCAACTCAACTGACTTTGACTAAGTTAGTCTATATATTTTACTACAATCAACGGGACTCTCTCCTTGAACCATTACCTCTCTCTATTCCCTCTTTAGCCGTGCAGGCCTTTCCAATGTTAACAAATCAAGTTTACTGACCCTGAGGGTCCACGGGTATATTGCCGCTTAATATAGACATTATTAACTAGGGGGGAAGCACCTGCTGGAGCTGGTGTGCCGCCCCGCCGTCACCAGTCACCTAGCCACTCACGACCTCTCATCCCCAGCTGAGCTGTGACACCAGATGGGATAGGGCAAGGGATTGGGTGGAGGGAGAGAATGTGTGCAGGAGAGTGAAAGACCTTGCACTTTTCACAACTTCAGCGCATAAATATTCAAAATGCTAATAAAAGCTCTGTAACTCACGGAGATGAGCCTTTTTTTTTTTTTTTTTTTTGGGTTTTCTATCTCTTTTGCTTATCTTCCACTCCATTCTCCAGTACTCGCTCGCAGATAGCGGATAACGGGAAAGGAGAGTGTAAAGAGAGAGCTTCAGATAGAAAATTTATCGCATGAAATGATAATAGCGGGGAGCCCCGGGGGAACAGAGGGTGCATGCATGCACTTGCTGAATGGCGTGGACGGGAGGGAAGGGGTTTACTACGGAGTATACTATATATAGTCTTGCACATGGGCCATGGTGTCTATATCTTTCCGGGAGATGAAGAAAGACGGGAGTATCAAATTCAGACTGCATAAGTCAAAGGCCTGACATAATAATTGCCATGTGGTTGACCAGCCTGACCAGCCTAACTAGGTGGTTACAGGTCTATATTTACCACGCAACTGACTTCCCCAGCCGTGCAAGTAATCTCCATGCATGTAGTCCATATGTGTTTTTAATCTTATGAAGGAGAGCTGTGTCAGTTCGTGGCTGAGGGTTTTTTTTGGGAGCTAGAAACGATATATATAAAACGAAGGCCATGTTGAGGTTTTTAGTTGTTTGAGGACGTGAGAAGGGCATTTGTCCGATGCATTAAACATAAACAGTTTCATAGCGGGGTGGGTTCACCTTCGATGGACCTGAGTTTTTCGCACTCTGTATATTATTATATTTTATGTGTAAGTTATATTATGGCCGTGGATGCAGTCTATGTTGTGCTTCAAGACGGCTCCTTTCAAACTCAGCTCGGAATTGGCCTGGGAATCTTTTAGGTAAATTCTTTTTAGACCAAGAGTGCTTAAATATTACATCTTATACCCGTGGTCCTACTTCTCCTTTCTCCAGATTGCTTTTACATCAAACGCTTGTACAGTACAGACCCGCGTGCCTGCGCCCGCGTTTGTCCTTTCCACTCTATTCCTGAAGAATAGAATACACACGACGTCGAAATCGCATTGCAGAAACTTCCTTGAGATCGTCATATGTTTAAGAGTTCTATCATTCCATCCCACGGGCCACGGCCCCACCATCCCCATCCCATCGGCTCAGTGCATCCGTTTCGCACTGCGCACACGATCCCTGATCCCAGGACCCCGGCGAACTGCCTAGTGCCCAGTACCTATCAATCAATACTCATAATAATGGCCCATGCATGGCCGCCCGGGACGAGCATGACAACAAACGCTGCATCCGATCTGGGCGTTTTCTGTTTCCATCCGTTTTGGCAGGTATGTTGAAGAGTTCATGAAAAAGTATCTGGCGGATCCATGGGTGTTTTGCTGGGATACGCGGGGAAATTTAGGGGGGAGGAGTTTAGCTGTAGGGCTTTGGCCTGCTTGCTTGGTCCTACTACATCCCCGGATCGGTATTGGAAAATGTGCTCGGGGGTTGGGGCGGCTAGAGCCTAGAGAGAAGCAGCAGACGCGAAGGGAAGAGTGCTCTTCTTCTTCTTCATTTTTGTTTGCTGTGATTGTCTGTCGTTCGGGATGAAAGTCGCGACATGCAGTACATTTTGAAATGCGTGGTACTGTTTGTTTCTCCGAGGCATTGTAACATTGTAAAGTTGATATTAACGAATTTCTCGGGAGGGTTGTTCGTTTTGCGCTACATCCAGGGCAAAAAAAAAAAATAAAAAATAAAAAATAAAACTCCCGACGTTGTGTTCCAGCCCGCGGGTTATTATTATTATTGCCTTTCCGCACATTGATGTCGTTAACTTCATACATACAGTACATATGCGGCTGTCATATGTAAACGCGGAGTATCAACGGCTATTCACAGGAAAAGATATCAATCAGTACGTATAATCCTTGCCAACCATCTCCCGAGTCTTGCCGCCCTGCAGCCGTCGCCGCCTCGTATGCAGCCACCGTGCATGCGCCGAGGCCCGTATTCACTCGACATGAAACTCGTTCTCGATTCCCCATATTTCCTCTCTCTTAAAAAAAAAAAAAAAAACGGCATGCCAAAATATGCCTCTTCCACGAGTTATGTATCCCCCCTTCATCTTATCCATTGCTGCAGCTTCGGCAGACCCGAATGTAACGTCTCTCTGCACCAACCTGTGCCGACCGCCGCTATATGATATGGTAGCGTAGCAGTAGGATACCTAACTAGCCTCACTTCTAGCCTAACGTCACGTCGCCTAAACATTGTAAACAACCGCTGTTCCGGTTCCTGAATAACGGTGGCCGGAGCGAGTTGGCTATGGTTCAACCCAACAGATCCTCCCCTCTCCTACAAATCCCGTCGGGTACCTCTGGGGTACATAATGGAGAAATACAGAGCGGATCTGCGAGCAACCGGAGCTAGAATAAGGCCGCGGCCCACCAAATTGCATGGACTGAGGTAGAATATGTAACTTTTTTAGACTAGAGGTGTGTTGGACTCTTCCATAGATTTGGGTTTCTTTGCTCCTTATAGAGTACATAGTACACATGTGGAGTTTCCAACTTTGCTGTTTGATCTTCCTTTCTGCTTTTTAAGTACAGAAATGGAACGGGAGGAAGCGGTCTGCATGCATCCAGGCCGGGTGGAGGACGGGGTATTTTTTTTCGCTTTATTTTTTAGTTTTACCACTTTGGCATATTTCTCCCCCTGAGCAATATCCTCTGTGCATACGGAGGACATAGTCATTCGTCATTGTACTGTACAATGAGCTGTATCTGATGTCAATTAGATGTGCTCCATCAGATTTCTCCCGAAAAAGTTTGCTATGGCTAGTTAGCTAACCAAACAAAGCCTTGGAATATGTTTTGAACATCGATATCCACACGTGCAGAAATAAAATATTGCCCGCTGTCAAGGCTGCGCATTGTCTTCTTTAGGGCCTTTTGAAACAGGTGGCTTTGGCCGAGGGTCCGGAGCCTCCAGCATTTTATTATTGCAACCAATCTTCAATTTATGTATCCTTGGCGGGCTTTTTTCTGTGTAAAGCGACGCAATCTATTCGCCCAAGAATTGGGGGAGAGAGAAGAAAACACCAAGCCCCTGCCGCACTTTTCAAGATTTCTCATTTGTTGCTTTGCTGCTGCACCTGCAGATTAGGATTCCGCGATGTGACGTGATTCAATAATAGTTACGAGTGGCATGCGACAGACCGACTTCCTTCGCAGTGCATTTGGAGCAGAAATTACGGAGCAGAGAAGAACGTAGTTAGTTTTCACAGACCAAAATTACGCCGTGGAATTTTGAAAAGTTGTGTGAGCCTGTAAGACTTTATTTATCTTTTCCTGCCTGTGTCCCCGGGAGAGTTGCATCTCACGAGAAACTGGGGTAGTTAAATGAGCCTGCTCAAGCAGCTAAAACAAACTAAATAAAATAAAAATAAAATAAGAAGCGCCACAAAAACATGGATTACTCCGTATAGAAATTCAATAGAAGGAAAAGAAAGGAAAATAAAATTATCCCGTATATTTGGAGAAAATTCGGCTCGTTAGTTAAACCTAATTCGATCGAAATTTCGTCGCACTAACGAGCGTCTTTCTTCTCGAGTCTCTGCCCATTCTATCCCTTACCCCGAATTGTTCAAAGAAGATGTGAGCTTTCCAGAAAATTCTAGGTACTCCCGTAGTTATACCATACCGCCAGCAATTTATTAGCCCCCACCGGAGTTAAAGGGGGCAGTTTCCAGTAACCCCGGATTGACACTATCAACTTCGTGCCCTCGCCTATGAATCTACCTAGGTGGATTGCCATGTATAGGTGGATATACTTGGCTTGCTTGTCTTTTATTTATGGATATGTAATTATTTAGTGATGAATTAAGAGTAGAAAGGGGAGAGCCATCAGGTCGGATATATCCCCCGCCTCCCGGCCTTTCCCACCCCTTGTTTCTCCCTGGCATATTTGCAGGCAAAGTCTTGCGCCCATGAGATGACTTAACATGGATAATATCTATCGATTGAGACATGCGACACACCTGTGGAATGAGAAGGGCCAAATTTGAACGGCAGAGTCGTAATTAACTCCCAAATTTGCCGAAACAGGATCGAATGATCGATGCCCTTGAAACTCCGCTCCGCCTTCCCTTCGCTCTCCCGCTCCGCTGGCAGGCAGTCAATCTAATCTACCGGTGCTACTTCACATAGGGGTAAGAATATCACTCCTGCGCTTCTTATATGATCTATGGGCCATGCTAACCAGTTTACAGTACTTTGTTTTGAGAAAAAACATTTCCAAGATCCCAGGTGTCAAAGGCATCTCTATCTACATCTAGGGGTTTATAGCACATTGCTCACACAGGTCCCAGTATGGAAAATTTATCCATAGAATGTTGCTTGCTATCGGGATACAAACATGGCTATCTGCATATATAGGCCTGTTATTACCCTCTCCCTGTATCGCCACTTTGATGAATGGGAAGACATCTGATGTAGGCAATAATACTCTTCATAGATCTAGACATTCCCTTGTCAAGTTCAGGTAAGTGCATGGTAAAAAGAAAAATCCATTCTTGAGAACATTCTGAAATGCCGTACTGACTCTTCTAATCAGACCAGACTCCACATTGAGGAAGAAAGAGATAATGATTGTTGAAATTAACATTTTCCACATAATCAAAAATTACATACACTCCTGCTGCTCAACTGCAACTGTTGCTCTGAGAATGAAAGTGCCTGTCAAGATAAGATTACAAGTTACTGGCTCTCTTGAACTGAAAGAGCCCTGTTGCACTGAATACTATATCTGGAGATTATGAACTGATGTGCAATCTGTAAGTTTTTCTCTCTCTGTTGCTGAACAGAACAGACTAACTGATGATTAACAGCCAACCATCACTCCATTGATAATACCTAATCAACCAGTTTGGCTGGCTCTGCACCCACATACTCATGACACATGATGCTTTCTGTGGATTCTGATGGAGCTGCTCTTCAATTAGACACTCTGAAACTAACATTGAAAGAGTTGTGAGACCAATCCTGGGTGACCGGCGCTATCTCTGTCTAAGCTCTGGGTATTTGTAGCTTAAAAGGGGGACTTCAGCTGCTCAGGGCGCCTGGGAATATTCCCAAGCTGGAGGCAAAATACCCAAACAAAACTCCGCAAACCTGGGGCTACAGATGGCCCCAAACCCAGACACGGATAGTCTGTGAATGCCTGAATGGTATCCCCGTCAACATCTAAAAGCCTCCCCGAACAGGTGAACTCGCGGAAGCAGTTTCAATTCAAGGCGCGATGGGCTTTGCTATGAGCCAACCGAATTATTTTTGGTATGATTTTAGATTGTTTGATTTGTGTCTGCTACTATAACTAACAGGGCTTCTTGGGCTATCGTGCTTCTTGTGCCAAAGTGCTTGCCCAGAATATGTCCTCGGGTTTAGAGACTGTGATAGTTAACCAAGCGATGATTTTGTTGGTGGCGGAATGGACCAGTTTTCAGTCATAGCATAGAACAGAAGGAAGCGGGTCCTTCAAAACTCCATGTCCAGCAAGCAGTCTTTCTAAATTTTCTATTTTCTAACCTGGGCAGAGTCTACACTTCTCCTCTACTTACTCCGTGGATCGCACAAGACCTCTAAATCATAGAAGATCCTCCCTCCCTCAACAGGCTAAATTTCTTTGCTCTCGCTGCCACTCAAGACCAGCTGACTCTTTCCTCCCAAAGTGGAATCGATGCAATCAACGAAAAAAAAAACCCATCCTACACCTGACTCGGAGTTGGCATTACCTTTAGCTAATGTAACTGACCAACAGTAGAGTTATGGATATGACAGCGGACATACCAAAATCACTGAACCTGGAGCCAGCCCCAGATCTCGCGGTGGACTGACTGTGTACAAGCTTGCCAAAGTGACCATTTCTGGCATTGGTTCGTGAAAGTCTCCGCAACTCGATTTTGGAGTTTCCTATGGAAACAATTTCTTCAGACGTATAGAGTACGGGACGGGCAAACGAATAATCAATGAGCCTTCTCTCACACATGCACATTACTATATTGTCCTTGCAGAGGGACCCGGATATCCCTCCCCCCCCCGAAGAACTCTCACAAGGGGTATTTACTTTAACCCCTCCCCCACTTTGGAGAAGAAAGATAATGCCGGTTTGGTTGGATGCGAGTAGTTCCGAGGACAGAAGCGCTGAAACATCGCGAACTCGGCAGGGAACATGGAAGGTACGCTTAACGATTTACGCAATTGGATATGTATGCACGACCCTAAATTGACACGAATGCTTGATTGTTGGAAGGTTTTCTCACAAGGCTGTCCAGCGTATCGCCAGAGGGGACTGTTCGTTCGCCCGAATGAAAACCCTAGCTCCTTTGTTTCGTAACCCTTAGTAAATGGTTCTATAAAGGCTTGTCAAAACCTCCTGGATCTATGTGGAAGTATCTCTCTCGACGCTCTCGGTTTTTCTCGAATGTCAGACTGACTGCTCATTTATGTAATTCTGTCTGGCGCAGCCTCCTCGCCTTTGATACAATATCCGTGTACGTGCGGCGCAGCACTCGCAACCGCACCATCTCGACGGTATTTACTTATCACCCCCCCTTCCCCCCCCCCCCCCCCCGGGGCTCTAAGGACCTGCCTACCCTCCTACAAGGCTTTGATTGGCGACTCTTAAACAAACATGCCTGCAACCGCCGGGCTGAACGCCGCCATCTACAAGGGGACAAGGACACCGGCGTCTCCACGCACTGGCTGCTCTTCATCGTCGACGGGCCCAGCGAGGCAGAGAAGTTCATTCTCCAACCGCTTCTTCGAGATGGAAAAAAAACCTCGACGCCTACAAGCTGCTGAATCTCTCGGCGATGGTCCACCCGTGCGACGTGGACGTGGATACCATAGAGATCAGCGCGATTGCCGCCGTTTGCCAAAACTGCGGCTATCCCCCCCGGTCATGGATACCCTGGGGGGTATAGCTGTCGGGACTCTGTGCTTGATCTGCTGAGTGGGTTGGAGGAGAAGAATATTATCGATGGTAATGATGCGGGGTATAAGATGAGTAAGGAGGTTGTTGTTAAGAGCAGAGAGGAAGGGTTGGCGTGAATGGGGCTGCAGGGGGTTTGTGTGTGTGTGTGTTCAAGTGTTCTGATCATTGAAATATGGTATGATATGTTGTTCTCCTGGTGTTGCTCATTTTTTATTATTCAAATCCCCCCCCCCCTCTCTCCCTGGTGAATATGAGGATGAATCTCTCTGACTGGCCACCCATAACTCCTTGCTCTGAAATTCAGCCTTGAGTTTGTTTTCTCTGTTCTCTCTCAATTTGTTATCACAGAGTCTGTAGTATTTGAAATTTTTCTTTAGCTTTTGTCTGTTTGTCACAAGCGTCACTGTTTGATATCTTGAGAGAGTAATGTTAAAATGGAACATAAGCACAAGCTTCCCATGATTAGGGATAAGCAAGAGAATTAAGAGAAAGTACGTAGAAGAAAAATGAAGAAGTAAAGTAAAGCATAATAACTTTGAGACCATCTGATTTGAGCTGAGTAACCAGTTTCGTATGTCTCCTGAGTACCGTACCTACAGCGCATATCAAGAATAAATTCCTCTCAAAAGCAATTCTATTTCTCCGACTGCAGCAGATCAAGGCAAGCGGCCCTTCTTTGATGATTCCGTTCCATTCAATTCTTTCAGACTAAATAATAGTTACAGAGTATGTACTCCGTACTCCGTATACCAGTCATGGATAGATAGATAGTCTGCCAGCCGATCACACAGATACACAAGATTCGCCTCGAAACGATAAAAAAAAAAAAAAAAAAAAAAAAGTCAGGGCCCAGACCAGAACGTTGTGGATTCCCCCCTCCTACCCCCCCACCCCCCCACCCCCCTACCCCCCCCAACTCGTTTCCGGGGAACTTGTTGGCCTCCTCCTCTTCCTTCTTCCTGTTCCTGTTCCTGAAATCCTTCCGTGGTTTTTACGGAATACGGATTCCCCGATCCAACCACCCCACCCAGCACAAGGATTCTTTTTTTTTTTTAAGAGAGTTTTAGTTCGGGATTTGGAGGTTTCCAAGAAACCTTGGTTGGAATTCACGGTGGCAGCAGTTGAGTTCGGGGCTAGTGGGAGGTTTGGTTAGTATCATGCTAGCTAGGATAGTTTGATGGGCTGTCCAGTAGTAGTAACATACTGCGTACGCAGCGTAGGAAGCTGGTGGGTTGGAATGGTGGGCTGGTGGGGGGTGGTTGTTGTTGTTGTTGTTGTTGCGGTGTGGTGGTGTGGTGGCCCTGGTGGTGGCCCTGGTGGGTGGGGTGGTGGGCGATTTTGGGATTTTTTTCTTTGTGTGCGTTTTATTATAGTATATTGTTAACTGTGAGGAAAAGCCCATTGAGAGGGAAAAAAGCAAAAGAGAAAGATCTAGATTTTGTATGTAGTTAAAAAAGAAATATAGTAATAAGCAGTGGTTAGAAAGTCCTTACGATTATTGAAGGGGGTCTTCCTTCATCGCGGCCGCATCGCTCGCATGCATACGTAACTATCCAATCTTCATTTATCCAACAATTCACAATGCCCCGCCATTCCATCTAGATACATCGGGGAAAAAACCCTCTCCTTCTTCTTCTTCTTCTTCTTCTTCTTCTTCTTCTTCTTCTTCAGATCTCTTCTCTTCAAAACTCGCATTCGTTCGATGATAAAAAAAAAATTACATAACCGAGCAGCTATACCCACCCTAGACAATAGTAATAACAGTCATAACAATATAATAATTCTCAAGCCGGTCGCGACGACGACCCCGCTGGCAACTTCCATACCCAACTCGTCCCGCCTCTCTGTGCGGTGTCGTTTTTTCTCCATTCTAACTTCTCAAGCATCTCTCCGCCTTTTTGGAACAACCCAGAAGCGGCGGTGAAGAAGACCCGGGCAACAGTTGAGTTGGTTGTTTCTGTATGCAACGTTATTCTTTAATAATACTATAAATAATAAGAAATAGTATTTCTTTTATGTTAAAGCCCGCGTCGAAACTCGGTAACTTAACTAGTTTTGCTGATGTGTCGTCGCGCGCCCGCCGGCTGGCCACTGCACTGGCCGCCCCCCGGGTCCCCCAAGGATTCAAGGAAGGACACCTCAGGGAACAGCTGGCTAGCTAGTGAGTTAGGTGACTTAGTTAAGCTAAAACTGTGGAAACCATCTCTCTTTATTAAGGGAAGCCTAGGATAAGTTTTTAGTGGCATGCAGTCATGAATAAGCCCATTTTTCTGTTCAGGTACGGAGTTGCCACCTGGCAGGCTGGCATGTTGGCCGGGATCTTTGTCTTGCTCCAGGCTGATTTTTAGCTTGGGTTTTTAATGATGTTGATCTTCTTTTCTTTTTCTTTTTCTTTTTCTTTCCTTTTTCTTTCCTTTTTCTTTCCTTTTTCTTTCTTTTTTCTTTCTGTAAAGTCCGGCAACTTGGCTGGAGGGGCATGCATGGCATGGAGAACTCTTTTCTCAAGAAGCCTTTGACAGAAGTAGTTAGTTACGTACTGGATTACTTATTAATAATATGTAATGTTTTTAGAGTACTCCGTAGACAGGCTGGAATAGATCCATTATTACAGCGTATATCCAGAGAATCGAACGGAGAATTTCCACTGTTCCATCATTTTATTGTGGGTGGGGCCGATGTTTCTCTGCCAGCGCCAGGGCCTCAGGGGGGGTTCCTTCTCCTCCCCTGCTGCCTGGTTCGGCAAGCGGGCGGGCGGGCGGGAGGGAAGGAGGGAGAGCCGGATGGAGGGGGATTGGAGAAGAGCCAAAAAAAAAAAAAAGAAAAAAAAAGAAGATAGTTCAATGTATGTACAGGAACCTGGAAGTTATCTTCTGTTGTGTGCTGCGTTGGTCTTTTTTTCATGTTTTTTTATTGGTGGTTGCCGATATTGCAGATCTCCGTCCCCTCCAGGATAAACTCTTTTTTTTGAAAAAAAAATTGTTTGTTCTTTTGTGGGAATTGTCAGCCAGCTTGTCTCGAATCGCCGCCAAAAATGATTCAGTCGTATGTAATCTACGGAGTAGTAGTTAACTAGTAATTAAAAAAAGCAAGAATTAAAGTTGGAGATCTGACTGAGCTGAGTGACATCCCATCTGGTGAGAATAATAATATAATATCAGCCCAATGACTGCAGCACAATAATAAATATGATTTGCAAGAAGGAATTTCATAACTGGCCAGTTGGGAGTCAATGAGCGAGGAATGAAAGAGAGTGAACTGGCCTGACTGGTGGGGTTATGTTATGCATATTTGTTTGTGTGTTTTCATCAAAATGTGCATTACACGAAAGAATAAAAAATTAAAAAAATTAAAAATTAAAAATTAAAAAATTAAAAAATTAAAAAATAACATGCAGAATTCACAGCCAAACCACTGGCTTAAATCTGGAGTCACATTATTCTCATGAGAGTGAGAGAGAGGTGAAAAGGTGAGGCGGTTGGTGCAGGTTGCTGGATACCAATCATTTTCATGAATTGTGAATTTTCACAGCGAACGGCGGGAAGTAGTTTCGCCCCTCCCTTCACGCCAGCGATTCGACTAATAATGAGAGGTTATGGAGTATGTACGTACGTATGTATGTATGTATGTATGTATGTATGTATGTATGTATGTATGTATGTATGTATGTATGTATGTATGTATGTATGTACTGTACTACGGAATATGTGGTTTATGATAGAGATAGAGGGATGGATGGATGGATGGATGGATGGATGGAATGGGAGAAGGCGGTCAATGAGATGTAATAAAACAAGGAGTACTCCGTAGAAGAAGATGTAATAATAATGTACGCTGCGTACCCTGTAGTAGTAACAATGTAGATGGATCCCCCTACAGATAGATAGATAGATCTTGTAATATTATGTTTTCCAGTTGCTTGATGGAAGGGAGGAGTGAGTGGTGAGTGTGTGCAATTCAATTGATTCTGCGAGTTTGTCTGATGGTCTTCTCTGACTATCCTCAGCTGACTGAGTATATATATGTATCTGCCACATTGAGTGGCCCCTCATTCAATTCCCGACTCGGCCCGTGGCGAGAAATGTAGGATGAATAATAATGAATAGTATGGCTCACAGTCTCTCTCTGAGGCTGGTGAGCACTTCCTTTCTGGGGATGGGATGGGATGAAGCCAGCCAAGCCGAGACGTTCCATTGTTCATACATAGGTAAAATCCTCCCAACTCTCAAATAATAATATAATAATACAACCAGCTGTAATACCCGAACCATTCAAAACCAAACCTCTCCCTCTCCTGAGCAGCTTACAGGCTAAGTTAACAAGCAGCAATTAAGTTATTATTAACTACATTATCAGAAAGAACATTCTGTGAGATTCTTCTCCCGATAACCCCCCTCCCTCTCAGGCAGTGCCTCCTCACCCTCGCGGGGCTTTACATAACTACTACGCAGTTACAGCGTACTGCCCCCCCCCCGGGTCCCCGGAGGGGTTTTGAGCTTACCTTCCGGTCCCCAGCCGGCTGGTTGCTGGGAGATTTAGTTCGCGCTCCACTTTCCCGCTTCCCCATTTCCTACAGGGTTCACCGTCCGTAGTGTAATGTAGTGTGTAGTGTAGTAGTGTAGTAGTGTAGTGTGTAGTGTAGTGGCGACCTAGGGAATAATGGGAATGTATGTATGTACTCCGTACATGTATCACCGCAACACCGCACGAAAGCAAGGACGCGTCAATCCTCCTGGGAATAAATAAAAACCTGTTACTATTAATTTTTTATTTTCGAAACGGCGCGGACTAGCGCTGGGTTAACTATGGGTTATTCGCGAGGGTGTTATTGGGCTAGCTTGTTGAGTGGGAAATTGCCCCTCTCTGTCTTTTCTGCTAGGGGAGGGGGGTGAAAGAAAGGCACAAAAAAAAAAAAAAAAAACACAAAGAAAAAAAAAGACCCTGGCAGGAAATAAATACAAACAGGGTACTTTCCTAGATTACAATAGCAATAATAACAGGTGGGAGAGGGGCGGTTTTTGCTTATTATTATTATTTTATTTATTTATTCAAACAAACAGGTTGGGAGAGACAGGAGGCAGCCGGCATTTTAAAATTATTCTCAGAGTGAAAGGGAAGAAAGAAAGAGAGTGCTTTTTGTTTTATTTATCTTCTTTCATTTGTGGTTAATCACCGTACATACAGAGCACGCTGTATATAAAAAACCCGGTACTCCGTATTATTGGACAACAGAACAAGGAAAAGGGAGAGAAACCTGGCCAGCCAGAGAATGAATGTTGAAGAATTAAAAAGAATATAAATCCCCCTTCAAAACGGCCAAAAGCGAAAAAAAAAAAAAAAAAAAAAAAAACAATACATAAACAACATTTGGAACGACCCATGTTGCTATTTAATATTAATATTATTATTACGTTTAGCGGCATTCGGCCGTTGGGTGATCAACCAACAAAGCAGACAACGCAACGACACCGACAACGACCGAGGGGTTTGGAGAAAGTCTTGGAGAATGAGTTGAATGAGGTGGGCTTGGAGCTGCCAAGTGCCAACTTAACTACCCCCCTTCCCACTCACTCACTGCCAAAGTGCCCACCAGGGTTCTCTTTAACGGTTTCTTTTTTCTGAGGGGCGAAGAGGGGCAAGGGAGGGCGCGTGGAATGTGTGTTGTTGGCGACAGACGGCGGGGCCCCCGGGATGAGTGACTGGTGAGCTGGTGGGCTGGTGGGCTGGTTGGGCTGTAGCCAACCACCAACCGCAACATGTATTTGGGTTGCGTAGTTACTCCTTGCTCATTCGTTATATGTCATCATTATTTATTTATTTATTTATTTATTACGAGGTGGGTGATGGGGTGGTGGTGGGTGGTGTGAGTGTGAGGGCTGATTAAGAATTTATCAGAGGGAGGTATTGGCTACCTCCCCTCCTTCTAAGTTATTATTATTATTATTATTATTTTAACTGCCTTGGTGGTTGAGGGGTTCAAGATACGTGTGTGTATTGTGCGGTGGTCGTCGGTGAGTGGAAATAATTAATAAATCGGTAAGGAAGCAAGAATATCATACCAAGGCAGTTTTCCAATGTTACTCGGTACTCCGTACAGTACCAACCCGATCCCAAATGCGGGCCTGTGGCTTTCAAATCGCTGTCCGCTGTGCCCCCAAACGGGGACTGGGGGGGCCTGCCTCAAAGGACGCCTATGCCCTATTCTGGACTGGGCCGTGGCAGAAGGCCCCGGGGAGCCGAAACAGCTGGAGTGCGCAAGCGTTGTGGGGCCAGGGCTAGCGTGGGTATTTAATTCGTGGGAAGTGATGCTTGCGGGCTGTGATAGTCTTTGAAAGGGATGATCCATTTCCCATAACGGGAGTGCATGTTATCCTATCCATGTATGTATGGTATGACATTATATTTAAAATACTTTTTAAACAGCCCGCAAAGAATAATACCATACCTACGCCGCGTAATAGTACGGTATGGGGCGGTTTGTCCAGGGATTGTTGTGTGTGTGTTGTGTCGCGCAGGCATTGTAGCCATCGACCTGGCAAAATGGCGGCGGCGCGGGGCCGGCGGCGGGGGTGGTTGGAAGGCGGTCGGGTCGTGGCGGTTGGTGGTCTGGGCAGTGGCAGTAGCACATTCACACACGCCAATGGCTGCTCCCCCACCCCTTTTTTTTTTTACTTTGGCTGGCTGACTGCGCTGGCAAAAGTGAAAGAAAGAAAGAAAGACTGAAAGAAGGAGGAGACGCGAAGCCCCTCGTTGATAGATAGTACGTGTTACAGTACGGAGTATGGAGGAGTATGGTATGGTGGTGGTTGTTTGCTCCCTCTCCGTTTTTGTTGCCCATCAAATGCCTTGCAGCCACGACTTCCACGGCTCTCTCGCCCACATTCCCGCGCCTTGGTCCAGTCGATATTAAATTATTATTATTATTATTATTATTATTATTATTATTATTTTTGGCCCTTCCTCTTCCTCTCCTCTTTTCTCGTCTTCTTCTTTTCTTCTTCTTCTTCTTTCCATTCTCCATTATCCCCCTCCTCCTCCCCTCCTTTCCCCATACTCCATCTATCTGTTCCTGTCTCCATTCAACATATCTTCCCCTCCGATATTTCGCTATATATCACTTCCTCCCTACCACCACCCCTTTGCATCTTATTGCTGGTGTTGCCCATAATTTATATTTACCTTAACCCCCCTCCCTTCCCCCTTCCCCCTCCTCCCCCATCATCATCATCATCCGCGTGTCTTTTGCTGCATTTTACTGCTCTCGATTTCAACATCTGAGAAACTAAACCCATAAAAAAAAGGAAATCGAGAAAAACTCCTCACTCTTATTCTGACTTTGCTTTCTTCTGGTTCTCCCTCCGCTTCTCTCATCATCGGGGACAAAATCAGCCCGTGGCTGGACCCGTCGGTTATTTGATTATTCTTTATTTTATTTTATTTTACTTTTATATTTATTTATTCATTATCTATCCTTAAAACCCAACAAAGCAAACCCATCATCATACTTATTCCACTCGCTATCCTATCGAATTCGAATATATATATATTTTTTCTCCCGCAGTGCAGACCCCAAGGAATGATTGGTTTCCGACAATCTCTACCATCCCCCCCTCTATTACCATCCCGCCCGCTCCAGACACGGTGTGAAAGCGCAGAACGACCGGTAGACCTCCCGTCCCTCTCGTCCTGCCTTTAATATCCATATATCCATCCTCCCGCCTCCGCCTCCTCTGCCGCCGTCGTCCTGCCCTTTTCATATACGCTCTGTTGAGAAGAGAAAAAGAATCAGAGCCATGGCCCCCACCGCCTCGAGTAGTAACCCGCCAGCGAAGAAAGCTACGGCTGCTCCAGAGAAGAAATTTAAGTGCCAGTTCTGCAATCGTGCTTTCAGCAGAAGTGAACATCGCAGTCGCCATGAACGATCACGTACGTTGGGGTTTTTTTTTTTTTTTTTTTTAATATTCTTGTTCTGTCTGGCATATCTGAGGCAGCTTGCGCTCCCTTTTTTTCGTGTGTTTTTTTCCCCTTTCGGGAACAACGGTGTCGGGGTTCCTTCCACCGCAACTGAACCTATTCTTTGTTCTTCTTAAGGACACACTCTCAATCCTTATCATGCTTCAATATCCTATATCTTTACCCGGACCCTCGCCTGCCTAGTGCAGCTTAATATATCGGAAATAAACTGACAATATATCACCCACGCAGATACCAAAGAACGACCTTTCAAATGCTTAAAATGTCGGAGCACCTTTGTTCGAAGGGATCTGCTCCTTCGACATGACCGAACAGTCCATGCTAAGGATGGGGGTATTCCGCTTGTAACGGAGGGCCGTCGACGTGGTGGACAAAAAGCGTCAACAACATCAAATGCTCCATCGAAGCCGTCCATCACAATAGACCCTGCCGCTCTGGGACAGATTGAGGCAAGCAGCGACGGTATGGTTGACATTGAAACTGCTGCGATGTTAATGACAGACTTCCAACACAAGGCCGCTGCGGCAGCCACCAACCAAAACCATGGTGACGATAGTCGCGATACCTTTTCCCCCGATCGTGCCGTCATTCTCGAGCCTTCCGTTGCATATCTGTCCGGTAACGCGACCTTGCCCCAGATGCCCTGGGATGCTTTCATGTCGACGCCAGATATCAAGTCGCATTCGATATCGTCAAGCCTCACATCCCAAGACTCCAATCGCAACCATCACCACAGATCCTCTCTCGACAGACATGCCATGGGTACCGACGGCCTGACACCTGCATTACATTCGCTGGTCAACTCTCTCCCGGTTTCGGGCAACTCGACGCCCAATGCTCTTTCACCGTTCCCTTCGATGACTGGCCCCTTGTCCCCGGTAAACTATCGTCGATCGCCTGGTCCAAGCCAACCCTTAAAGCAACCCAGATCTCCCCAAATTGCAAACGACGCTGAGCGAGATGCGATTATTGAACATGTCAAGAGTAATGACGCCGTTGGTTCTCTCCCTGATACCTTCCAACTACCGTCAACAGCTGCTCTAAATCGGTATTTGACTACGTATTTCAATCTCTATCATCATCATCTACCGTTCCTGCATCAGGAGTCCTTCTCTCCATCCAAGGTTTCGCCGCCATTGCTTCTTGCTGTGCTGTCCATTGGCGCCCTATACACTTTTGAACGCGAGCATGCCTTCATGCTTCATATTGGATCAAAGGTTCTTGTTAATCAGTTCCTGCAACATAAAGAGAATTTCGATTCGAGAAAATGTCCCCTCTGGGCAATGCAAAGCACTCTGTTGAATATGATCTTCGAGAGCTGGAGTGGTGATCCGAAAGGTCTAGAATGGACCTGTTCGATCAAGAGTCTGCTTGCTAATGTAAAGCTACTTTCTTTCTTCCCCCCTCCCTACTAATCTTCGTTGTTTGTTTTTGCTAATCGTTCTTTATCTAGATGGTTGCGGGTAATCGTTACCAGTTGAAACTTCGTATAGATGCTCGAGAAGGCGCACGACCAACCCGCGAGCAATGGATCGAGGATGAAGGTTGCCGACGAACTTACTACGCTGTGTATATCTTCTTCGGAATGCTGACACTTACGTTCAATCATACACCAGCTATTAGCTTCGATGAGATTGAATCCTTGGAGCTTCCCTCTTCAGAGTCAATGTGGAACCTCGAGATATCGAATGAAGATGCGTGGCGCCGAAGCCTGAACTCAGCCTCGCCTCCTGTCACAGTCCGAGAAGCCCATGATAGCCTTTTCCGTGGCGAATCCTTAAGATACAGCGCATTTGCTACTCGCGTAATGATCAATGCTCTTTTCCTCCAAGTCTGGTCCCACAAACGCAGCTTCCAGGCTCTTCAAGATGTTGTAACCGAATTTAGGCTACGACTTGCGATCGAAACTTGGGAGAGCTCGCTTGAGCTGTGTGAACCTGAAACGATCGCTCCTCCACTCAGTACCCCGCAAAACAGCCACCCGCTAATCTTCAATTCAATGGCTGTTTATCGGAATACTCGTGCTCGACTTGAAGTTGATTTGAAGTCGATACAAGAGGCCCTTCGATACCATTCGTCCTACGAAGTTGCCGCTGCCATGACTGTCGCCCGTGAGAAAGTCAAACGATCCCAAGAGATGAACAAGGTCATCCAACAATGCTTTGAATGCATTGAAATAGCTGCCATTCAAGGCATCAATTGGGTTGCGAAAACTTCCGCAACTAATTGGAGTGTGGAACACCCTCTCTGTGGTTTGGATATGATGGTGATTCTAAGCCTTTGGCTCTACCGTCTGGAACATGACGACGAACAGGCCACTGAAGCTGAGATGGCTATCTACAACAAAGTGCGGAATCTCTTCGATGATGATGCTGTTGATGCCTGCGGGTCGAATCTCAGCTCTACGGTCGCCCGTGTGTGGGGCAACATACTGGACGGCGTAGTCGTTTGGGGGTAAGTTCGGGTTTTTAATTTTTATCCCTTGGTTTTTAACGTGGCAGTTGCTAATTACTTGCTTCAACAGGATCACCAAGCTCATGGGCGAGTCATTCAAGCTTCACTCGCAGGCTTTGGTGGGATATGAGGATTCAATGGTGACCAGCAGTTCGGAACACACACTGGACCCCATGCCCACACAAGGCCTTGCAAGTGTTGGAACAGCATATTAATCGACGCCGACCGAACTGACTCTTCGGACTTCTTTACCCTCGTTTTGCTCATTTTAACTCTCGGTTTTATTCGTGCATATATCCAACCGCATACCGCTGTTTTAATTACCTTTTTGGACTTCCTTTCCTTATACTTCCGGTGGGCACTGCGGTGTTCACCGGATTCTCGGACTCTATACTTGCACGAATTATTTTTTATTTTTTTATTTTTTTATTTTTTATTTTTATTTTTATTTTTATTTTTATTTTTATTTTTTTTTTTTGGCACGGGTTTTTAGATTCAGAAGTGGCATAGCAACCGCTCGCGAATCTACAAATTTTTCGACCACTTTTTTTCTTTGTTCTCGCTTTCTTTAAATCGCATTGTTCGTTATGTTTTGTGAAACCATTGGGAGACATTTTATATACGGGAACTGTGGAAAAGGTTTCGGGGACAGGTAAGGGTAAGGCAAACGGAGGTTGGTAAGGTGTTTTTCGCATCGGAAACTAGACGTCTTATTTGTATTTGGGTGATCAGATTTCCAAAGCATCTCACTGCATTCTCCACGGATTTGCCCGTTCCTTACCCCCCGTTATTGGGACTTTTTTACTTCATTTTTTTTTATTTTCTGGTTTTGTTGCGTGTTTCTGCGTCTTTTTTGTTTTTGAGTCTTCTTCCATACTGATCCCTTTATCTATTTATTTTTTAAAGAGAGCACCCAGGAGTCCGGTCTGGTTGGTTTTACTTTGTTGATGGGCTGTTGGCATAGACAGCATGTTTACACCGGCTGGTCCTGCGTGTTTCTATCTCTCCCCCCTTTTTGCTCATCCCTCTCCGAGAACCCTTTAATTTTTAGTGTTTTTTTTATCCCCCTTTCTTCTCTTCTTATATATACGCCTTTTTTTTTTTTTTTTTTTTTTTTTTGCCTTGATACCTCCATTGATCATCATCTTCGGCAATTTTTTGCATTAATCTGGTATTGCTAGCCTTTTTGTTTCGTGGTCGTGCAGTGTTTTGTTGCTTCATTCAGCTGATAACACTGCTTTTTTGTCTTCTTGTCAATCGTTGCTCAGAGTCATTCATTGCCCCATTTCCCCCTACTCCTCCCTCCCCTCTCTTACTTGCTTCGATCTTATCCCAACTATTCGTCCATATTGGTTATGGAGAAACCCACACTCGTTTGTTAAATTTTTGCTTTTTTCCATTTCCTCGATCTTTTTTATGTTTCGTCCGAGTCACGTTCTATTTTAGAGTCAAAGCGGTCAGCCCGAATCTCCTCCCCATCTACCTACCATCTACCATACCTACCTACCTACCTACTTACCTTACCTATTATTACCCATCTATCCCACCTTGCTTTTTTCGCGTGCGGTTATGTTTTTTGTGTTAAGTCTTTTTTTTCCCTATATCTCCCAAGTCCTTCTCCTCTCCCAAATCCAAATTGCCATCCGTGTGTGCATAATAGTTTCGGTCGCCTTTGTTTTGTGATGTTTTGAGCACTACTACTACTAATCCAGGGCACGTAGCTATTTTTTTTCTGTTTTTTTTTTGTATTTCTTTTGTCATTGATGCGAGCTTATGTTTTGTTTGTTTGTTGCGTTTTGACTTTTTTGATTTTTATCGAGCGAGTATTTTGGTTTTTGTTATATGATCTTTAGTTACCTGCGTGGGGGGGCCTCTACTATATTATATATAGAAGCTCCTTTTTCCTTTACTGTTTATTTTCTCTTTTTTTTTACTGATTACGTTTTTGATTATTATTATTATTGGTTTTTTGCTAAGTAGGATGCCATGTACTATATAACTAGTCTATTTTGAGTTCAATGCATTTTATTGATATTGCTTATGCTATGGAATATGGTGAACATCAGCAATCCTCCTCTACTCCGTATTGATGAGACCATGTAATGATTATAATGGCAGCGAATCTTGAAGGCTGCTGCTGGTGGCCTCTTGCTCGCTTGGCTGGTTTGGCTGCTTTAACTTAATGCACGAAAACTCTGGTTTGATTTGCTTTGCTTTGTTTTGCTTGTTCCACCTTTAACTGGGCATCTGGGTAAGTGTTTGCGTAATAATACCTAGGTTAGCTTTCTTGCGGGGGTGTATGCCGTCATTTCTGTCCCTTTTCTCCATGTTATGTTACCAGTTATCGCCCTGGCCGCGGGAATGGCTGGCATTGAACAGAACAGCACTACATAATAATCGGAGCTGATTTCAGCTGTACATTAACTAGTTCTTTACTTCGGTTGCAAGTGAGCTGGGAGGGACTGCCGCCTGCGTCTGGGGCTGAGTTGTTTGTGTCTTAATCGTGCCTCCAAGGTATCCTCTAGCAGGGGAAGCTTGACGACACCCTGACGAACGACGAACGTTCCGCCGCATATCCATGGATATTACCAATGGTCCTGAAGGTATTTAAAATAAATAGAAAGTAGACGGCAAAAAAAAATAAAATAAAATAAAAAAAATAAAATAAAATAAAATAAAAGAAAAGAGAAAAGGGAAAAGAGAAAAGATTCTATATAAAAACGTATACAACGACAATAACAAAGAAAATGGACGAGCACAACGCCGCCGTCGCCGCCATCTCCGCCCAAGTCCGCCGCTTCCACTCCACCCGCACCCCCTTCCGCATCTACCACGGCTCCACAAACACCACCCGCCCCACCTCCTTCCAGCGCGACCGGCTCGTCGACACTAGCTCACTCAACCGCGTGCTGCGCATCGACCGGCTCGCCCGCACCGCGCTCGTCGAGCCGAACGTGCCCATGGATGCGCTCGTGGCGGCGACGCTGGAGGCGGGGCTGGTGCCGCCGGTCGTCATGGAGTTTCCGGGCATTACGGTCGGTGGCGGGTTTGCGGGGATGGGCGGGGAGAGCAGCTCGTTTCGGTATGGGATGTTTCATGAGACGGTGCGGTGGGTGGAGGTTGTCAAGGGGGATGGGGCCGTTGTTGTTGCCTCCTCCTCTTCTTCTTCATCATCATCATCAGCAGCAGCAGCAGCAGCAGCTGGTGTGGGAAGTGGAAGTGGGAAGCAGCTCGCAGGGGACGCGGACGCGGAGGATCTCTTCCACGGCGCCGCGGGCACGATGGGCACGCTGGGCATCACCACCCTGCTCGAGCTGCAGCTCATCGACGCGCGCGCCTTCGTCGAGGTTTCATACTGGCCTGTGTCCAGCGTGCACGACGCCGTCGAGACCGTGCGGGCCCAGGCCGCCCGCCCGCCCGGCGAGGTGGACTACGTCGACGCCATCCTCTTCAGCGCCGATAGGGGCGTGGTGGTCGCGGGCCGGCTGACGGATGCCATCACCGCGCCCGACGGGCGCATCCAGCGCTTCACGCGCGCGCACGACCCGTGGTTCTATCTCCATGCGGAGGAAGTAGTGGCGAAATCACCACCGCCGCAGCCGCAGCCGCCGTCGACGACGACGACGACGGCAGCGGGCCCCATCATCATCGAAACAGTCCCGCTGACAGACTACCTCTTCCGCTACGACCGCGGCGCCTTCTGGACCGGGTTCTACGCGTTCAAATACTTCCGCGTGCCCTTCACGGCGTCCATGCGCTGGCTCCTCGACGGCTTCATGCATACCAGAGTCATGTACCACGCCCTGCACCGCAGCGGCTTTGCGCAGAGGTATATCATCCAGGACCTGGCGCTGCCGCATGGTGCGGCCGCGGAGGAGTTTGTGGAGTTTGTCCGCCGGGAGGAAGGGGTGGGGGATCGGGTTGGGGAGTGTTTCCCGCTCTGGCTGTGTCCGCTGCGGCTACAGAGGAGGGAGCGGGGGCGGGGGCAGGGAACGGATTTTGGCTCAATGCATCCGAAGTGGGTACTACATTCGGCGTCGGAATCTTCGTCGTCGTCGGCGGCGGCGGCGCCACAGTCCGACGAAATGCAAATAAACGTCGGCCTTTGGTGTCCTGGCCCGTCCACGACGGCCGCCTTCGTCAAGGTTAATCGCGCAATCGAACAGAAGGTGCGCGCGCTGCGCGGGACAAAGTGGCTCTACGCGCACACGTATTACACGGAGGAGGAGTTTTGGGATATCTACGATCGGCAGTGGTATGAGGGCCTGCGCGAGAAGTATGGAGCCACTTATTTGCCGGACGTTTATGAGAAGGTTAGGGTTAAGAAGCAGGGGCAGGCGGCAGGGCAGGGGGAAGGGGGCCTGCTGGGGCGTCTAACGGGGTGGGTGTGGACCATTTGGCCGCTTGCCGGGGTTTATGGAGTAATGAGTACGATGGTTGGGGGGCGGGGGTATTTGGTGGAGGGGGAGCGGAGGGGAGGGAAGATTGCTGTTGGGATAGTCGTGTTGGGTTTGCTTTGGGTGCTTGCGAGTTACTGGAAGTGAAATAGAGCAGGACGGGAGGATCTCGCTGGGAAAGGGAGAGCTTTGTCGTTACACACTGTGATATTTATTCTTTTTCTGCGAACGCGTCAAGGTTGAGCCGCAAGATAGATATGCTGGAGAAGTCATTTCCTAAAGAAGAGCAGGTCTTGGATATTTTGGATGTTTAGAAGTCCAATTACGCCGTTCTGGCTGGAAGCCCTACGGACTTGCTTAGTGTTACCATTGGGTGGTCCCCATATCTGGAACCTGAAGGACTGCGGTCAGCAAATGGTTGGTTTCGAGTGTACATCTTTTGTTCCTGATTGAGATGTGGTCTATTCTGCGATATCATATCGATCCTCTTAAGCGGCTTGTTCGAGAAAATCTCAATGATCACAACGGCCCAGCATGATGAAGACAAAGACGCCCAGAAAAGGGGCTCACGGTGCGCCGTGTGGTATACGTAGCTCATGTGCCATGTATGTATGCACTGTACATCAATGCTCTCTGATTTTCAGCTTTGGTTAACTTGTGTATATACATATAACGCATAATATCCAGACATGGTCGAAATATACTTTGTTCTATTCATAAATTGCTGGGTCAAAATTGCTAAGTCAGTGGGAGGGTGATGTTATACAGGGGGGTCCTGTTTTGAGCTGTGCCTTTCAAATGATGTGTGGAAATTGGCTGGAGGCCTGGTAGAACTGTGTGGCCATGATTCTTATTCCCCATGATGGGGATCGAGATATGGATAACTCGCATCGGGTGCTCGGTGTAGTGGTTCTTTCGTTTTGATATTGAAGAGGTACCCAGGGTAGTCTGGCAGATATATGTAATGTAATGTTGATCACATCGAAGAACATCTTGGTGGAGTGGAGTCCCGCTGCCACAAATAAGCTTAATTTCTGTGCTTAACCTTAGCTGGACAAGACCCACTTGGCCAACTCCACCGGATTCTCTTTTAGGCCACTTCGACGGACGTCTATCATTTCCAAATTGTTACGAGCTGCCTTGACCTCTCCATGGAGCCTTGCTACCAACAAACCAATGAAATCTCTATATTTCCAAAAAGCTCACCTCTTTGTTCTGTCAACAAAGCAGATGATTGATTTGCCTGCGTCCCCTTGCCAATCCGCATCTTTCATCCTGTTCTGCTCGTGCATGTCTGCCTGTTGCCTTTCTTTGTGCAGCACATTCTATCCAGGCAGAATTAAATGCCTCCCAAGTAACAGGCAATCAGGCAGGCAGACTCGTTTCTTAGTCAGATAGTTGCCGTCCCATACTCAGTAGCATTTACTTCTTGCCCATTTTTCTGAGCGGGACATCAGGAAGCGGACGCCGGATATGTCCCCACATTTGATATATTCCCAAGCCATCCCCCATACGTGCATATTCATACGTGCATGTTCATAGCACTTATTTATTTTTATATCATCCAGGAAGCAGCAACTAGATTCTGCGGGCGCTGTGGGGTTTCCTAAGAAACGGGCGCCCAGGATTCCAGAAAGAATGCGCAATGACCAGACTGGCTTTCCGGCGGCGTTCTACTGAAATGGTCGATCCATTCACGGTGACACCCTTTTCCGTCCAGCGTCCATGGCACCGCTGTATAGACTGACATAATTCTTGCCTGTCTCGTTGACAGAACAGTGGGCAGGCGGAACAGTGGCTAAAGCTTGGTTTTTATTCTTTCTTTTCTTTTTGTTTCGACATGTTCGTTCAATCATGGGTCTCCCTGTTCTTTCTCCGGGATCCGGACTGCTGTCAATCTGTCAATCTGTCAACTGCCAGTGAACGGGTGATTTTCTGGTTCGCCCAAGCTGTTGGAGAGGAGGCGATCGTTCGCAGCCTACGGATTACATGGTGAATTATGGAAGTGACTGGTCCTTGTTTTGGACGATGGGCTGTGTGGTTGCTCTATTCTCTCCCCCTCCCTCCCTTTCTTTTCTTTTCTTTTTTCATTTTTATTTTTTTCGGTTCATTCATGATTAAAGGGGAAAAAAGAGGGAGGGACATGGTTATGGCTGGTGTGCGATTATATATATATGTATATATATATCGGATTTTGGATCTCCTGCGGACGTTGCAGGTCGTTTGCGTCGTTGAAGACGATGTCAGTATTATTATCCCTTTTCTGAGACCTTTTCTGCACGGTCTTTTCATTCTGCACATTCACACATAATGATGTACATTACATGCCCTTGCTCCACGGTATGGCGTCTAATGGTGCATCTGACACCCGGAGCCTAGCATTGCTGCTAGGAATGGTGAAGCCTCTTCAGCAGCCTTCTATATAAGGTCGCTTTGATCTCCTTCGCTCGTCGAGTTCGGCGGCATCCGCGGCTAATTCAAGCTCTATTTGTGTGTTTTTCTATCTTCTCTGTCAGTTCTTGCATCTTCACTGTCGTGGTTTCCACCCAGCCATAGCAAGCATTGAGCGTTGTGTTTTGACGGTTACGTTACTCCAGTGTTGCTTAAGCAGCCATCCATTCCGCCCTCCTCACTTAACCCTTCTGGCCGTAGCAACTATCTCCCTATTATATATACCTCTTATTGTTTGATGTGAGGTAATTGGCATCGCAACTGTGAGCAACTTGAGAAGACCCGTATTGTTCGTGCAGGATTTTTACACGTTCTGCTTTCCCTCTTGTCCGCTCATCATCCGCAGTTTGTCAAAGCCATTGGTCGCTCGTGGTACAAACCTCCCCCTATCCCCGACCTCTCGCCGCTCACCATTTATATAAGGAGCATCCATTCCAGACTCCAGCTACGTCGGAATGGCTCCCCTAAGTGAGCTTCATGAGCTCACTCGGCGGGATCAGACATTCCACGCCGGGATGACCAATGTTGTCGTTCCGCTTCTCCTGCTGCCCAGTATCGCTATCCTCCTGGTCGTCAATCGTATCTACTTCCGCCTAAAGTTGGCTAGAGTTTTGGTATGGGACGATTATTGTATTATTGCTGCTATAGTAAGTACAGGGCTCTTTTTTCGTCTGTGCTACCGATCCTCTATTCCAAACTGGCGTTCTCTACTATACTGCTGTCGTTGCGTTGCCTACCACAGAGAAATCTCAACCATTCGAATGCTGATTGATTTTAATGGATAGATTTGTTGCATTGCAATGAATACTTTCCCGCTTGTTGGTAGGCGTCAATTATGCGCGGATGGCCTTCATAAGATCAATGGACACTAACCTGATGCTAGGTATTGCTTACGGCTACGGGAAACCGTGGGATGAGCTGACAACATATGAGCAGATGGTATCTATGAAGGTGAGCTTTTAATTTCACAAGTTCGGATCCAAATGAAGGGTTTGAAAATGAAATGGAATAAGAGTAGAGTTAACAAATAGACTATCTAGTTGTTTTGGGCCGTGCAACTCGGCTACAAATTCACCTTGAATTTCAGTAAAATGTCGATTCTCCTCCTATACCGGCGCCTCTTCGCCACGCGCAAATTTCAAATTTCAGTCAACATCGTCTTCACATTTGTCGTTCTCTACTTCATCGCCTCTGTCGTGGCAAACCTTCTCGAATGCAGACCCGTCGAGAAAAACTTCGACATGGCAATCCCAGGCAAATGCATAAACATTACAGCTCATTGGTTTGCAAATGCAATTTCAACATCAAGCAGCGATATTGTCACTCTTCTTCTTCCTATGCCGGTAATTCATAGATTACGTCTTCCTCCCCGACAGAAATATGCCTTAATGGGCATTTTTGCTCTGGGAATATTGTGAGCATAAACTCCTTTTTACTATTTCCCCTTTTGGTTCATCCAGGGAAAACCGAGATAAAAGAAAGACATATCATTATTAGTATTTCTAACCGCCACTTCCCACAAAACAGCGTCTGCATAATATCAATAATACGCATGACAACCATTATCGGCGGCTCAAAAGCCCATGACCGGAGTACAGACACAGTTAGCGCTTTGCTGTGGGCGCTGGTCGAGGCCAACACCTCTATAATTTGCGCATGCCTGCCCATGCTCCGCACGCCACTTTCCATGCTATTCCCAAACCTTTTCCCCCCATTCCACTACGGAGGCGAGACACTTTCCCGCCAAAGCTCGATAACCGCCGCGGAAGCCGCTGACACTGTGGAACACCCCGGACAAACGCAACATAATCAGGAGCTCAAGTCGCCGGATACCTCGTCGAAAACTACCACGATACAGGTCTCGATCAGCCCGAGGAAAGACGAGGATGGTCTGTGTTCGCCTGGGGAAAGGGAGAGCGAAAAGGACGGGGTCCAGATATCGTCCGGGCAGAGGCAGAGAGGTGATGATGATAGGTCCTTTTCTATCAGCTCTCCTAGACCCCTCACAACTGCGATACCCCTTTCCTCCTCGCCAGTCACGCCCCTGCCATCCCCTCCACCATCAGGGACCAACACAGGCGCCAACACGTGGCGTAAGGAGCAATGAGTTGTTCACTCTCAAGCCAATTTGTTAGAAATGGCAATTTCTCGATATACATAGTGCTGTCGAGAATACGTATACGTCTAGAATCATGGACGGCCTATTGCGATGCCTATGGTCCAGGATTTCCTTCCTTGCGTCTGCACCCGCGCCCGCGCCCAAACATCAGGCTAATATAACTATGTGCCGCATGATGTGAAATGCCATTCATGCCTCTCTTCTGTTCTTTGAAATGACATGGTACGATCTACTTTCTACTTTCTGATTGACGCCTCTCTATATACTCTCCGGTGTATGCCAAAGGTTTTCACTCATGTTTGCGTTTTTCTCACTCTTTCTAGCGTCCTACTCTCCTTAAATTATATTCCCTTTTATACGATTGTCCTTTTTTTTTTTTTTTTTTTTTTTTTTTTTTTTTTTTTTTGTAATAAATAAATGGGCGGGGTTATATATGTGTGAAACTAGCATTGTTTTCGTTGAAGATTTGATTATTGATTGATGTATACCTTGAGACGGGAAAAGGGCTTTAATGTGATGTTATATTGAAAGCGTTAGCTAATTAGATAGCTGAAAAGAAAAGTCGAGATGAATGGAATGAATGAATGAATATCAAAGAGGTTCTTCTTTTCCGTAGGTTTTATGGGGTAGCCGGTCCATAAGGCTCTGCCTCTACACCCTGAAGCTGATGCATGTTCGTTCAGTCGAACAAGAGAAGTTAAATTCCCACCTGTGATGGATATATTAAGAAAACCCTGACCAAACTAATAGCATGAAAGGGACCTCTGAGCAGAAAAGAACATTTTCAACTCTATTGTCATGGCGTTAAGTGTCATTAGAGCAAGCGCAGACATGCGTTACATGCAGAACAAAACTGGTATGGAAAAATGCGAGTCATAAAATAGGTGGCACTGTAAAGAGGGAAATAAGTCTTGAACAAACGCTACGCCTCCAGTGCCTGTTCATCTGAGGCGCTTTTCGTTTTACCCTGTCCCACGCCATAGAACAACGCCTTCTTAATCTCAGCAGCCATAAGCCCATTCAGCTCGTCGCCCACAATCCGCTGTCCCTCCTTAACCACCTTATCCAGCTGCTGGTCTTTCACTAGTAACGCAGCGCCGCCACCCCCACCACCCCGCGACGAATTATGATCAATGTGCCAAGTAGATTTCTTCATCTTCTGCCCCAGGTCCTGAATCTGCTTGCTCCCATACTCGCGATTTGTAAACAGCGGACTCTGGCTAATCGTCGCAACCCAGTACTTATTCCACAGCAACGAAAGTATTTTGGTATCAAGCGTGCTCTTGAAATGCGAGACCTCTAGTGAGTAGTATTGGGCAGCATGCGCGCCGAAATCTTCCACCTTATGCAACGGGATGCTCTGGTACTCGTCGTCGTCCTCATGCTCGTTCTTAGGCGGCGTATAGTCCTTCGGAAACGTCCTGAAGGCGCCAATCTCAACTTTGCCGGCCGAGATCGTGCGATCGGGGTCTATCACAACGGCCACAAAAGGATCGGAATATTTCTGCTGGGTATCTTGTGTCGAGACGTCGATGCCTGACAGCCAACACCCATAGCCCGGGTGGCTGTGATACCAACCAATGGCATTCTCATGTCGCCCCGAATCCCGACATGCCTGTAGATAGGTGACCATATACTCATTTGCCTCTTCCTGGGCATTGACGCGGGTTTCCGTTCCCTCGACTGGAAGGCGGAAGGCGTCGGTGACGATGAAGGTGTTGGCGGCGATGTAGCCTTGCATTAGGCCCATGACTTCTATGCTCCCGCCGGAGCGCGCGTGCATGACCATTTTTAGCAATGCGACGGCAGAGATGCGGATGTGTTTAAAGTAATGCGGGTCCTTTGACCAGGGCCTTTGAGCTGTGAGGGCGGAATGGGCGGCGGGGTCGTAGTTGTAGAGCGCATCGCGGTGTGGGTCAATGAGCTGAAGGGAGTTTTCAAGCTCTTAAGGATTGTTATATTTTCTTGTTACTGCTGTTTCAAGTCATTGTGAATGGATATACGGGAGAACATACCCCAAGCTTGCCTGGCTGCCTCCATGGTGGGTGGGCAGAGAGTTATTGCAAGAGTAGCCTGACAATGCCACTATATCGTTACGAGGTTGTTGGAGAACGAGGCAACTAATATTTTCAATCAATTAATCATGATATACTGGATTTGAATAAAATAATAGCTGGTTCCTGAAAAAAATGAAGCTTGATAAATAAATGATGTTGGACTGAGCTGCGCAATTGTATGAGAGGAAGCAAACGATTCGATGAGGTATCAGTCACGTGACGTGGGGCGCTCCGCAGAACGAAGACGGTAAACTAACTTAGTCAGCGGTTGTCGTGCCAACGATTCGCAGCATCAACAAATGCGCCGCATCCAAGCTTGGTCAAACGGATAAGGTCAAACCGAGCCACTTTCCATCTCCGCCATCCGCAGTTCCAGACAGACTGGAGGTCGCCCTTCTCCTCCGTATTATGTCGCATTTGTGCTGAACATGAACACGATTCCTTATCGCGGTGCCATTGAGTTTCTCGTTCACTGTCGTTTTTCATTTGCGCTTTCGTTAAAACGTTTTCTCAAACTCCAACATCCGCATAAGAACCGCTACTCTGCTGTTTTCGTCCTCACGAAACGAGTCATCTAAGGGCGACTTTTTTTTCCCTCTTTATTTGCGACTGGTATCTGTTGCGCGGGGTCGCCATAAGGCTGCTTCATGGCAATGGCCATAGACACAGGCTACCTGACCACTCAGGTCACTTCGATCGTCAGTCAATTACATGGGCTATTTGACGAGATAGGCGTCCCTAGCCATGATCGCGAGTCACGAGAACAAGAGGTGAGCAAGTTGTATTCAAATCAGCCACAGGATGATTGGTGCTAATATATGCTTGTATAGCTTTTCGCGTCCCTATCAGACACCCTCCAGAGCCATTTAAGGCGCGTCAATTGGTAAGAGACCACGGTAAAATATGCCTTGTGCGCTCCTACTAATTGTTTGTCAAATAGTGAGAAAAGTGACATGATTGATGAGGCACAACAGACAATTCAATTGATAAAACAAATGGAAGCATCACTAGATGACTCCACTAAACATGATCATCAGATAGATGGCGGAGATCTTCGTGTTACTTTTCCGCTCAATCGCTGTCTAAAGGTGTTGAAGGAGAAATATACTATCATAAGCAAATTACATCGCGAAAGATTTGAGCAAATAAAAAGTGAGTTTCTCCTAATTAGTTGTTCATCTAGCAGTAACTGATAGCTTTTTTCTTTTGTTCCTTCAGAACTCGTCCAAGCACTTGAGTCATATTCCTCTCACCTTGAGCCATCATTCGTGAAGGTCCCGCTCCCTCCAACCACCGACGGTTCTTCTATTCCTCCCACCTTTGACCTCTCGCCATCATATGCGTCAGCCCTCGACAATGAATTCACCAGGGTTTATGAAGAATATACTCGTCGTGTTCAAGTAGTCCAGAATATTTCGGAAGAAATAGTAAAGCTCTGGGCGGAGCTAGGCACTCCTCAAGCACAAACTGAACCGTCCATTGTTGAATACTATCGCGAATCGCCAGAACAGCTAGGATTGCACGAATCAGACCTTTCGTCACTACGGGAAAGACGGGATAAATTAATTGACGAAAAGCGCGGGCGCGAGCGGAAACTCAACGAATTGCGGACTGCGGTCGAATCCTTATGGGATCGCCTAGGTGTTGAGGAAGGAGATAGGAAAGGTTTCCGAGCCGCAAATCGTGGATGTGGCCTCAGGGTGATCAATGAGTTTGAAGATGAACTGAGCCGCTTGAATGAGTTGAAAAGGCAAAACCTTCACCTGTTCGTAGAAGATGCTCGTTGCCGGCTCCAGGAACTTTGGGATGGTTTATACTATTCTGAGGAAGAGATGCTTGATTTTACGCCTGCTTTTTCAGATGTCTACAGCGATGCCCTACTCGCCGCACACGAAGCAGAAATCGAACGTCTCGAAGTACTAAGAGAGCAACGTGCCCCCACGCTTGAACTCATCGAGAAGCACCGCACTCTTGTGCATGAACGTGATAGCCTTGCGGCTTCTAGCCAAGATGCCTCTCGGCTCATGGCTCGCGGCAATAAGGGTGAACGCCGAGATCCCACCAGGCTTCTAAGGGAAGAGAAGATGAGAAAGAGGATCGCGAAAGAGCTACCAAAAGTCGAGACAGAGCTGCGCAGAGTCCTCGAACAATGGGAAGACGAGTATGGGAGGCCGTTCCTCGTTCACGGAGAGCGATATCTTGATGAAATCGCCCCTCCCGCGCCAGCGAAAATCCCACCACGATCAAAAACGCCATGTGGGCCGCCTCAACACAGCCGTGCAAACTCAGTGAGACCACCATCTTCGATGCGCGGTGGAGGATCTGTAAGAGGGTCACAGCCTCCTTCCCATGCGAAGACTCCCACGAGGAGTGGTACCCTGAAACGCAATGCCCAGAACCCAGCCGCCGGAAATGGTAATAAGTCACCTACGAAAATTCCATCCCGCGCTCCTCTTGCAAATATGCCACATGGAAATAACTCACCCGATCGCCGTCCACCTCAGTCTTTCTCCTCAAGCGCCCGTAGCAAGATGCCACCTCCGCGTGCTCCTCCTCCCAAGATGCGAGACCTCAATGCCTCTGTGCGGCAGGAAACCCCCCAGAACTCATTCTATGCAGACGCGGAACATGGCAACGACGCTTTGTCATTATCAAACTCCTATGTGAGGTCAATCACACCAGAGGACGTTTACGATGATCGAAACCAGCGCTCCTACCTGAGCTCTTCAATGTCCCATTACAGGCCCGGCTCATCGCTTTCCATGGCACAGTCCTTCAACCCAGCTGCCAGTGTCCAAAATCCAAACTATTACAACCATCAAAGGCAACAATCACAGCCGCAGCTGCAGCATCAACCGAAACCTTATATGCAACAACCGCATCAGCATGAGCCAATGGGCCCTCCTCCACGACCAGCTAGTCGACAAATATCGAATACTTCCACTATACAAACTGCCACATCAGGGTCTGAAAATTGGGAAACATACGACAGTGAGTCTGAGCCCGAGATTGACGCCACAGACGTTTATTACGCCAAATTGAGAGCCACTCAGGGTAAGTGGCCAGGGCACGATTTGCACAGTGGAGCCACAGACTCCATGGCTGGAAAAAAGGCCAAGGGGATTCGTGGCGTCGGCATGGAAGAGCAATACAGTGAGGGGAACGGCCAGGTTATGAGAGTCGCTGGCAGCGATGGATGGACTGACGACATGGAGACTTATTAACGAATGGCTACATCATGCCCTGATGTTGAAACGAGTTCCTTCGATATATGCCTTCCGATGTGAAAACGCCTTGATGAAGCCGGCTGGGGATGCTTTTTTTCTTTGGTAACTAAAATAAGACACTCTTGACTAACTTCGGCGGAATTTATGCTCATGATGAGAATATGGCTTCCCGTTCCGTTACTCGTCAACAACGTCTTGTATATTATCCCCTTTCTCCTACCCAGTCTCCCCATAGGGCTTGTCTATTTTATCTGTTCGTGGCCTTGCTCCCCATTTTGACAGATGTGCTTCTGACGCGCAGGTTCCCTATTATTTTGGGCATTATTTCTTTCCCTCACTCCCTCCGGTGAGGCCCTCTTTTCTCCTTCTTTCCACTCGTTCGCGATTTTGTATTTGTCCGTTTTGAGCAAGTTTTCGGAGTTGGGTTGTATTTTGTAATGGTTTTTTGCCTGAGCTTTTAATGTTTGTTGGTTAGCTCTGCTGCATTCTGGTTTTGCATTCGCCCTGTCTTCTTTTGTCTGGTTTTGTGGCCTTTATATTTTGTGCTTTTCCATCTCGCCCACTACTGATTTTCGTTTTCTTTGTTTTGACAACCCGGCCCACGTGCTTTGTTTTGAGTATATTATTGTCTTACGAGTATTTTTCCATCTTTCTATTTTCCAATATTGTGGGCTTTTATCGTCGTCGATATTCATATTCTTTGGTTGTTATTATTTGTTGTTTTAATCTTCGTTTTCATTGACTTTTTATGTATAATCTGGATTTGGCTTTGACAGCTTTTCAAAAATTCAAATTCATTATACATAAGTTCCCATTTTTGTTTATCCATCCGGAACTGCGCAAAGGAATAGTAACTGCTGTGTAGATTCAGGTAGAAGAGTATTGTTTGTGATGCTCTCTCTATACCCTATACGTATGGATAGGAAGAAGATGTTCCCCGTAGTAGCGAATAAATCGAAATGCCGTCTATACATTACCAAAATAGCAATGATATAATAGTTATACAGGATATATACATATAAATAGGTAGATAGCACCGGCCGCTATGAACCTCACTATTTAATTAAGCCTTGCGCCTTCAACGTGCACCAATCACCCCCTGGGAGTTTTCCACCCTGTCCACCAGCCAAACTCTCACCCTCGTGCTGCACGGGCATAGTCAACTCCCTTGCCTCCCGCAGTCTCCGGACACATTCATCCCGGCCTAGTATCGCCATCGTTGCTGGGATGTTTATCCCCGGCGCTCCGCCAGATAATGCCCAGCGGAGGTAGTGATAGAGGTCTTTGCGGAATTGCTTTTCGGCGGCGACGGCGGATGTTCGTGGTGGTGGTGGGGGAGTGGTAGTGGTAGTGGTAGTGGTAGTGGTAGTGGTAGTGGTAGTTGAGGAAGATGAAGCTGGTTGAGCTGGGATATCGCTGAGGAGGTAGGATATGTTTCGCTTGTGGGTTTCTGTGGTCCAGTGCTCATCGGGGACTAGGCAGAGAGCTGCGGCGGCGGTGTGGAGGTCTGCGATTGGGGTGATGGTGGGAGGGATTATGGTGGAAGTTTCGGTCTCAGTTTCGGGTTGAGCTTTATTTTTGGGTGGAGATGGAGTGGTGGGAATATAGGGAGGTCGGTTGAGGGATGCGGCGAAGAAGGACCTATTCTCTTCGATGAATTTTGATGCGTTTGTATAGCCGCGCGCTCCGCCCTCCCGCACTATGGAGGCGATGTGTTCGCGGAGGGTATGGTGTTTTAGCAAGGGGGAGCTGTGGAGTGGGTGTCAGTGTGGTTTTAACTACGGGGTTGGCTATCCGCATATGGGATGGATCGAAGAATGTATGAACATGTGAACTGAGATGCGGGAACGTACAGTTGTTCATCTGTGAGCTGTGTTCTCACGGCCTTTTCAATTCGATCGACCATGGACTCGGCTTCAGGACCTCCTTCAG